ACAGCTTTAGAATGTCACTTTTGTAAAGTATTCGATTAATCTGGTATATAGTAATTCGAAAATTGCAATCTGTTTTTAGGACACCTTGTTATTTATACAAGCCTCTTCATAGAGATTTAGCTACTGTACCGGTATCGTAAATGACATTTTTATAAAATTCTAATTAAGATTGTATCGAGTTATTTTGAGTTTGTTTTTATCACAGATATTAAGCGGAGTATGATTGAAAAATGTAGCCCCAGAAATGTATTTTACTGTTAAGATATTTCTTACAAATTGAAAGTTGTCTTTTCCAGCATTGTATCGTTATCAAAGGATGTGTTTGATAGCCATATAATTAGCGTTGCAACATCTGTTCCCCCATATTGATATAACAAGCGATCTCAACCCTACTTCCTTCCCTTGCTCGGAATTGGCACTAACTGAACGTGATGTGGCTCGTAGGCTATAGGCGGCCTCCCTTTGCAAATTAAACCATACAGCTTAGGCTTTGCTGCCTACATAATAATCACCTGTTTTCCATCCCACTAACCCATTAGACTTTTTTACTCTTTTTGGAAGCATAAGTTATTGTTTTTTTTTTAAAGGTTTAAAAATATAAATATATAAGTTTGGAAGAGTAAATGGCTATTGTAACTAAACTAGGCCTTAATAAAATACAATACAGTAGGCGTAACTAGTGTATTTTGATGGTACGAAACTGGACTGAGTTTTCCCTTGAATATAAGGCTTTTAATAAACGGTCCTGGCTAAGAAAAGGTGGTCTTAGTCAGTAACAAAGCAACACAGATCATCTGACTATATTCTACCCTCATCCTAATCATACAACCCAATACACACCCAAATCTTTGTCTCTGTCTTAAAGAATTGAATTGAATTTGCTATGACAGGCTCCTCTTAAAACATATTTTAGGCTAAAGTATTAAGCATGTTTGTTGGCAATTCTCAGACAAATGATTATCATTTAAAGTGTTCAAACTTCAGGGATAGCTTGATATGTCAACTCCAACAGGGAAATAAATTGTTAGATAGTAAATATGTCCATATTAATTGATCCAAGCGATATTTGCGATTTGGCTGTTATTATCACTTTGTTACTTATTAGATTCTACGGTAATTTTTATTTCGACCACTTAACAAATGACAGTGTTTGACGTCTCTAAAAGGTCAATAGCCTATGTATAATCTATAAGTATAAGATAAGTTTAAAGTACAGAACCTAAAATGGTTAGAGATTGAACCATTAATAAATAATTCCTTTCTCGACTATTACCATTCTATTAATCATAGACTAGGGTAAAATCTGTAATTAGATACGAATATTTAAGAATATTTATAGGTAGGCCTATATTTGTTTTAAAACTAAAGCCCTAGTTCTAACTTATGTAGATTTGTACTATCTGGGTTAAGCCTATTATACAAAATTCACCCTCTGAATTTTGGCCGTTTGCTTTCTAAGTTTTTATGTTCATTCAAACTAGTGTTTTGTATTAAATTTTGTGCTTGGAATCAAACTGAACCATCAAAATATTTCAACTAATAGCCTAAGCCCTAAACAGATGTTCAAGTTCACTTTGTTCTCCATTGAGAGTGGGGTTGTTAAATTCAAAATTTACTATTCATAATATTTTGACTAGATTCTACTATAACAACACGTCGCTTTGACAGGTTAAACTAACAGTCAGTAACAGGTGATTTCTTGTTGTTGTAAGAAAGATCTCTCACTGAAATCACCACTAATGATTGATACAACTTGTCAACAAGTTCCGAATTACATAATGTCCAACAGTAGTTCTAAAGAGCAATTAATCTAACGGTTGTCATATTTAATCAATATTTTGATCTCGGGGAAACCCATTTCTACAATACCATCTGTTTCTCAGTAGTAGATGACCAATAGCATGCCTATGACAAGCAGTGGGTCAGAGTGTGTCAGTGTGAGTGAGTGGACGCGTCTCTAATTGCTTCACCTAGCATTGTTCTCATCTGACACCAATTATCACCGTTCCCAGTGGTTTGATTAGCAGCTGTAATCCGTTGAGAAATGTTATGTTCTGCCAACCTTAGAGGTTAAATTCTCGTTCCTTCCTCATCGTTAGTGGGCTCTACCGTACTGCTTCCGTTTTTAGTCATGCGAGCATGTTCTGCATGAAAATATACTTCAATTGAGTCCAATGTTTAAATGAGACTTTTAATTATGCTAACACTGCTTGGTAAAACGTTTAATTAGTAGGCCTATTAAAACTTGTTGCAAAATTATTTGATTAGATGGTATAGCTTGATGTTGTACTGCTGTGCTGTTTTAAAATATTGAGAAGCCTGTCGTATATTTATAATTTAATTAAAGAGCATTTTATATGTCTCAATTATTATTAAAACAGAACAGCACTTGCCGTTTTTTCCTAAGCCAATTTAATACTAAAGAAAAATCCCACCCATGGGCTTCAATCTAACATTTCTATAGGCCTAAGGGTTGCCAGGAGCTAGAGGTTATAGAATAATCCCCTGTCAAGAGAGGTAAATTTTTAAAATTTATGTACAAAATTGTTAATTTTACACATTTTGTGCTCCTAAATTTGATTTATTAATTTTTCATTGGTTTTAAAATTAAAATTGGAAAAAAATGTTTAATTTGGGGTCTTAGGGGTCTTGAGCTCTAACCCTCTCCGACAACGGAGATACAGGGTGATCAACTCAAGGAGCTACCATTGGGATATCGGAAGCGGTCAGAATTAGAAAGTTTTTTTATGGGGGGCATTCCTTTATTTTTTGTGGCAGTTAAAAATATGAATTTAGTTTTTTGCAATTCAGCCGCCATTTTCCAACATGGACACCAACTTTTAATTTCTTATGGAACACCGTGTTTGGATGGCCGGTGTTTTCTATCCAAAAACATCATGTTTTTGGATAGAGCTTGTAACTTAATTTAAAAACTTTTTTATTCTTGGCATTTTTTTCTATAAAGCTACTCGTTTAGGAGTTTCAGTCGAGGAAAAAATGGCTTCCGGTGTACATTTTGCGTCATGTAGCTCATAAACGAGTAAGTTTAGAAGTGAAGAGTAAATATGTCTTAAAATTGCATCTACATTCCAAACATTCCAAAAATTACCTTAAAATACACAGTTTTCCACTTTTCAAGTTAACTGCCATTTTGGAAAATGGTGGCCATTTTTTAAATAGTGGAATTAATATTTTTGATGTATTTTATTGTCTTTTTGGAAAGTACCTATATAGGGTGTTCCATAAGAAATTTCAAAGTTGGCCGACATGTTGGAAAATGGCGGCTGAATTTAAAAAAACTAAATTCATATTTTTAACTGACACAAAAATTAAGGGAATGTCCTCCATTTAAAGCTTTCTCTCATTCTGGCCGTGGTGGCCTTCTTGAGTTGATCACCCTGTGTAGATAGACAATTATTATGAAAATATAGATGAACAAGAAAGTAAGGACATTTATATGTGTGGTTCTCTGGCTGTTTTAATAAACTACAACCTACAATGGTTAAACTACTCATTGGTCTTTGCCTAGTATCTCCTACCCCAACTATATTCTCTACTGATTAATGATAACATCTGTTTATCTCATATCAGTAAGACTTGCTGATAAGCCTTGTTTGCCCATTACTTGGAACCCACCATATAACTGATACTGCAATGTAAACAGTCAACATATTGATAAATAGTTCTTCCTCAACAATAAAATAGACAATCTGACACATACTTTCTCCCATTAGCTTGTCAACAACCCTTATCATGGGCAAGTGGTGGGAGTAACTATAATCATTGACCTTATAAAGTCAATGCTATATAATATACTTACCATAACATACTTCGTTTTAGTAAAAATCGTTTGTCTTTACTTTTTTGTTAAAATAAAATTTTTTCTGTTATTCTACGGGTTTTATGAGATAACAGTTAGGTTAACAAACAAAATTTTTAAAAATGAATAAAACGCTTAAAGACCCACATAACTCAAATTCCAAAATATAGGGGGAAAACAATACTTTCTCCATTATGCTATTAGGTGGAGATAGTAAATTACTTGTGTTGTATGTTCTGGTAGGCCTATTTGTTTACTAAGCCAATTAAAAATTTGTGTGCATTTTGTTTTTGCTATCTTTTTTTTTCTTTTTTTTACAAGCCATGCCTAAGTTTCATAGGTTTTTGAAGACATCTCGTCCCTTTTTACTTAACATCTTAATCTAATCTTAATTAATATTACTTCTTAATCTTAATCTTAATCTTAATCTTAATCTTACTTAATCTTTTACCTCACACTCCTCACAAAATCTGCATTAGAAATTTTATTTCTGAGTTTACGTTAGTCAAGGTTACTTATTAATATCATAGACAAAAAGAATTAAATATAGACTGTCAGCCGTGCTGCGGTTACCATGGTTACCATAAGTTCGGGCGCACACCGCTGTAGTTTACGTAGCGCGTACGCTGTAACTACCGTGGCGATCCCAGCGGTGTGCGCCAGAACCTATGGTAACCGCAGCACAGCTGACGGTCTATATTTAATTCTTTTTGTCTATGTTAATATCCTAAGAATTATTAATATCCTTTCCACCCTTATACCATGTAACACATTGATATATATTAGAAATCATAGTCAGAGTTGTAAAAGGTGTTGATTTAGATTCATAGTGGTAATTTGTACTGTGTTGCCATTTAATGGTTCTCAAGTTCCCACAAGTTGAGTTTTCAGATAGTACTACTCGATCGAACAAGCTGGTGTATTTTTACCTACAAAACTGTGTGATTTTTTTATACACTTTCGGTTGTTACGTAAGCTGAAAATATAATTCCATCAGAGTTACTAATCAACATTGGCATTGAAAATTGCAATTCCAATAATTATGATTCATTCACAGAAATATTTAAAGATAAGCAATCACTAATTTATTGACCAGGATGCGCTCTAATCAGTTAATATGTCAATAAACCAGGTGGAAACCCACACTTGCACAACTGCTAATTGATATTTGTTGTTGCAGACCAGAACCGAACAACATTCCAGAAGCATTCCAGCAGCAACGAAGATTCCAGGAGACATTCCACCCGGTATATAATGGGTTCGAGTGACTGATGTGGGAGAATGGAGGAGGGTAACAACAGGTACATCGTGCAGGTGTTTGTGGGAGCGCTGTCACAGCACTATGAGGCACTCTCGGTGGAAGCCAGCAAGCAGACGACGAGTGAGGAGATCGTGCTGTGTATCGCGGAGAGACTGTCGCTGTGTGGAGCGGCAGGGTTCGAACTGGCAGAAGTGGTGGGCGATGCACTCGGTAGAGAGTGTAAGGAGAGACGACTGGGGCCGGCGGAATGTCCTGTCGCCGTTATGTTACTGTGGCCCAAGACGAGCTCAGCGCAACAGGAGTTCTATAGGTGAGTTGGGAAATATATTTCAAAATGTAAAATTTGTATTGAATTATTTTTGAAAGTTAGTTGATATATGGGAATATTTGATATCGTTAAATTGAGATTCAGTGCTTATCCTGTTTACGACGACCTACGAGTGTAGCCAGTCACTGCATTTGGCTGCGAGATGGTCATACTGCTAATAGGGTTGCGTCTCACTGCTGCCAACCAAATATGATATAGTTGATTTTCCTATTTTACCTACTCACTAAAAAAAATTCTGTGATTAAATCATGTCTAATCAATGGAAATTCACAATGTGATAATACTGTAGTTCGGTGAATTGAAGCCCACCTTGATTCTCTAGGGCCATCCATAAAAGTAGAAATATCTTTCTCTCGATGAAATGGCAAGCGGTAATTCAATTTAGTCGTCCACCATTAAATCTTTAACTAACCTCGAGTGGTAGGTCAAAATATTTCTTATTTTGGCTTTTGTAGTTTTTGTCTTAGGCTATCTATTAAAAAGTAAAGAGTTAAAAACTTATTTAATTGATTAAATAAACTTATAATTGATTAAATAAACTTATAGTTGATTAAATCAAGTGCATCAATTGAATGGGGATTTTCATATTGTTAGTCTTTCAATAAAGAAAGAAAAACGTTACTTGTGCAATTAATAGTGGATTTTATTTATAAACATATTGTTATAACTGATACTGTAGTGAAACTGTTTTAGTGTCCTAGAGTTTTACATATCCATACTAATATTTGACACTGAGATTAATGCTTGACTGAAACTACTACCTACCTATATAATGTGTTTATATTCCTAAGCTAATAAATATTTTCAAAAGTAATACAAAGTTTTTTTATAAACTTGCCCTAAAGAAAAAGAAACGCTAGATAGTTAGTCAAATATATTTGTAATAATTGAATAAGTGTTAGGCCAACTGCTTTATGTGGGTTCATTGGTTCCTTGGTCGATTATTCACGCAAATAAAACAAAATGGAAATGCTGCAACCGACTAAATTATCTTAACCTAAATTTACGTATGGTCAATCATGGGTTCACAATGTAGGCTAATGGGAAATCCATCTCAATTGTTTATGTGAGCGTGAGCCTTTGTTTTCCCAGAATCGGAACGAAGGACCGTAGCAGCCAAAGGCATCAGTGTGTGGTCAAATTGTCTGCATTAATAATATTGTCACCGTGTAGTGGCTGGCAGCGTGCCACTGCTATTAATACTTAGTGATATAGTGAAGACACCCGATTCTAAGGGACTCGGGCTGTTTGTTGCTCTAGTGTCAGTCTTCTCACTGGCTTTCAGTTCAAAAATTATTCTCGTCAGTGTTGTGGGAAGCTTTTCGATGTTTTGAATAGGATTTGCAAGTGCCCGTTTGCAAGATTTATGATTTTAAGTTTGTTGAGATTTACTTTTTCTTGTTTACCTTTGCTTTTGGAAAGCTTTACCAGTTGGCTGTGTTTAGTGAGTTTTGTTTTGGGTTGGAAATAGTTTATTGGTTTAATAATAGAGTTGTGGTAATTGGTATAAAGTGAATAGTTTATTTATAAAATAAAATTATCTTTACAATTTAGTTGTACGAGTTAGGAAATTTAGGTATGGCTCTAGCCACCTGCTAGAAGTTTTTTAAGGAGGTGAATGGATGGGCTTGAATGTAGGTAAATGGGAAAAAGCTGATTAAGAAATCATAGAAGTGAAAATAGAGATTCTTATCTAATTTTAAAATCATTTGGATAATGGTTGAAGTGTGTTAGAATATTACGGTTAGTTTGATGATGAGAAAAAGTTAAAGGAATTTACAATAGTTTGAAAATTATCAGTTCATATTTTTAATGACTTTAAATAATGATTCTGGCTAAAATCAGTTCAATCTTAGTAACAAAGCTATCTTATGGTTTCCATACTTAATTTATTCACTCATCACAGAACTAAACGAAGCACTCTGGTGTATCAGGGTTGTGGTAAATTAATAATTCAATTAAAAAATTATATTATTTGATACCTATATTAGATTAAATATAACTCAGTTAATTTAGTGCATAAAAAATTTGTTTTTTTTAGCCTTGTAAATACTTTTAACCACACTTCTACAATTTGTCCCTAGGTTCTACCTGAGGGAAAAGTTGAGTGACAACTTGTGGTCGGACGGGTTCACGATGGACCCGCAACTGATCCGGGACTACTTCTACCGCTTCCTGTACCAGCCGCAGGACCGGGAATATCCGGACTTGTGTCAGCTGCCGGACCTCAACGAGCAGACGCTGTTGGAGAACCTACGATCACGCTTTCTTAACGGCCACATCTACACCTACGTCGGCTCTATACTGATTGCCGTCAATCCATTCAAGGTACGTGGGAAGGATGTGGAACTTGACAGCCTTTTTGCAGTGGACAGTCGTTATGTGAAAAAAATAAATAAAAAATTGAAAACGCCAAGTTGTGTGTAATGTGTGTAATTTTTTGTAAATTGGGTTTTACGTTATCAAATTACTTTCAGTAAAAGAATTTTGAAAAAAACATCTAAAAGAAGAATAGCCAAAATATAACATGGTCTACCAACAATACAGTCTCTTGCTTATAATGCTTTATTAACACTTGTGTAATGTGCCAAAACATTATTAAGCTCCCTTTATAATTCAGTAACCATAAGGTGGTTGTGTATAACCTAAAACTAAACCACAGTCCTGCTAATCTGTACCACCGGATCTGGGAAAGAAAGGTTACTAAATAAATTCAAATTTAAAAAAATGTGTTCTGAAATACCAACAAGGATGTACAGCCAACCCGGGAAAATGTGAATTGTAAGTGAATTTTAATCAAATCCTTTAGAAATCACAAGAATATTGGTAACAAGAACGCAATCGCAAGAGATGATTGTGAGTGTTTTCGTGCCCCTGGGCAATTTACAGTCATAAAAATGTACAATTTTTTAAAGCACCTTTACCGCATTTCAGGCTAATAAAAAAAAATCTTTATTTAACAAGGTTCAAACCCAAATAGCTTGGTCTCTAAAGTACATTAGTTTCTGAATTTTTATCCCTTAGTTTTCATTGTGTGCATTGGGATTTGTTCAGCATAACTAGTCATTTGAATTGTTTTTTTTTTAAATAAATCAAGAGGAAGTTAGATCATCAGTTTTGTCAATAACCTGATCGTATGTGTCAACAGTTCCATCCGATCTACAATCCCAAGTATGTCAAGTTGTACCAACACCGCAGACTGGGTCCGGAGTTGCCTCCGCATATCTTCGCAGTAGCTGACTCTGCGTATCACAGCATGCTGCGGAGTAAACGCAACCAGTGCATCGTCATCAGCGGGGAGAGTGGTAGCGGTGAGTTTCAGTGTCACGCTTAATGTCATAGCGACTCATTGTTTAGTTTGAGAGTGAGTTTTGGTTGTGGTTTGAACTAGACATTCTATTCCCATTTTAAAGTTGTGTAGCCAGTTTCAAAACAAAAGTAAAGATAGTTGATTTGAGCCACTGAAGAGTTTACTGGTGTAAATTACTGATAACTGTCCATTACTCTGTTTTGTTACCATCATGGAAGTTACTTCTGGGCTAAGTGATTTTATCGCTTTTGTCAAAAGTGTAGCCTAACGCTTTTGATCCCGAAAAACATTTTGTTCATTATTAGGTTAAAAACACTACTGTTCTTTTTTGGATTGTCAATCCAACTTGTGTTCTTGAAATTTATAGTAGGTAGGCCTATTTAAAACTGTGAAATACTGGTAAATATAGGTTTTAGTATATCTAACGATATCGGAGCAAGCAACAATTGTATGCAAAGACTGATAAGCTAAACCAAACTATTTTCTTTTGAATTAGGAAACTTTTTAAAATTATGTCTATAACTAAATTTAACTCCTATTTGTTGGGAGTTGCATCTTTCTAGCTTATAGATAAAATTTAGTATTAAATTCAGTGGTCTAACAATTTTGGTAATTTGACTCTCTCCTCGTCCCCTAAGTGTCAGATAAAAAAAAGTAACTGTATTTCATGATCTAATAATAGTATTATAAATGTTGTATCATGGTTTGCCAGGCAAGACGGAGAGCACCAATCTCCTGCTCCACCACTTGACAGCGTTGTCACAGAAAGGAGCGCAAGGCAGTGGTGTGGAGCAGACGATACTGAGCGCAGGGCCAGTGTTGGAGGCGTTCGGTAACGCCAAGACAGCCCATAACAACAACAGCAGTCGCTTCGGCAAGTTCATCCAGGTCAACTACAAGCCCAACGGAATGGTGCACGGGTAAGATAAAGTCGCAGTTTATATATTTTTTTATTACAAGGAAAATTGTAAGAGAACTTTGCGTTTTGGAGCGATTTTTTTTGTCGTTTTGCCACGATTGGGGGAGATGATTACAACATCTAGTGTGAACAGTTTAAGTTTTAGGATTTGTAAAAAATATCGTAAATGGTGGAGGGAATCAATTAAACATTTTATTGCTTACAATTTTCATTCCAGATATTTTTTTCCATTTCACCAATTCCTAGAGCAGCTCTGATCTGCTAAACCTAAAGCCTCTACACAATAACTATTATGAAAATATGTTTGTAAATCGTTAACAATTGTAGAGATTAAAAAGTCTTTGCAAGTTTTGCATGTATTGTACCCAGAAACAGGTAAAATACTGATTTATGTCCTTACTTAATGATGTGCGAATGTACCTAGTTAGATTGAGCTTAAAGGTTATTTTCCTCTCCAGTCTAATTTTGTTTGGTCACAATTTTGCTACCTTGATGTTCAAATGACTGTACGAGATTTGCTAACTTTGACGTGATGTGATAGTGCCGTGGTGCAGAAGTATCTGTTAGAGAAGTCGCGCATTTGCTCACAAGGTCGTAATGAGCGCAACTACCACGTCTTCTACTACCTGCTCAAAGGCGCTTCCGAGGATGACCGTACCACTCTGCATCTCCGCAAGGCTGAGCAATACAACTACCTCAATAGGGTGAGAACTATTGAACATTATTTCTGTGTAATGGAATATTAAGTTAATGTTGTGGTGGTTCCAAACAAAATTTACACTGTTCCATTCCATTCTTTTGTTGGTGTTTGTAATTTGGTATTATATCGGCCACACACTGATAAATCGACTTCCAAATAAGATTTGAATTAGTTTAAATAATAAAATCTTCCTAACCTAAGTTAACCACCCTTAGGTAAGGTTAGGTTAGGTTAGTTTAGGTTAGGTTAGGTTAGGTTATATTAGGTGTGGTCGGTATAATACCAAAGTACCCTTAGTTAGTGATCTTTGTGTTCTTGTTCTTAGTATCTTTTGTGGTCTAAGAATAAAGCTGGGTTTTGTAAGCGAGTGCTGAGTTTAATTCCTGAGTTTTATCACCCAAAGTAGTGGCCGGTAGGCCCCAAAGGAGTCTTGAGGTTTACCTACCATTACGCAAGCATAACTAGGTAAAGGGGTGATGGGAACTACTTTTTACCATCAGCTATGTTCATTTACTGTACTGAATGTAATAAATTTATTTTTACAAACTTGTGCACATTACAGTAGATTCTTGGTAACAAGTCTGATAATTGGGGGATGAAAAAATATTACTTGTTATCGAGGGCGACTCCTTTCCGATGTTTGCATTGTTTGCAATAACATTTAATTAAGTAATATGAAATTAAGGAAATTTGAAATTACACTTGTTATTAAGGGCCCACTTGTTATCTAGGGTATTCTCATTGAGGTTCCACTGCACTACCCTATTACTTGAGGAAAGCTCCCATACTTAATCAAACTTTAATGTATTCGGCTGTCTTTGTTTGCTGGAAGACTATGTCTAATTTAAAAATGTGAGCACATCATATCCTTAACTTGTAGCCATGTGTTTGATTATTGCTCATTGTCTTGTACTTGGCTTAGTTTACCAATGGGGCCTAAAACCTTCACTAAGTAGTTTTGCTCATAACGTTCTCTCCGTTGTTCACAGAGTGGCTGTTTTGTGCTGGAGAACGTAGACGAGAACCATGAGTTCTCCAGGTTGAAGCAGAGTATGGAGATGGTAGGGTTTACTCCAGAGAAGCAACGCAGACTGTTCGCCGTCCTCTCCGCTGTGTTGCTTTTAGGTAAGTCTCTAGAGCTACAATAGCAAGATACGATCATGAACATGCAACAAATTACGTTGTTTCAAATAGGCTATCAACCTCTTCCGCGATCATTTCAAAATCCTGAATATCTACCGCAGTCGTATTGACATCACCAATGTCTTCCGTGATCGCAATAAAATCGTGTACATCTCCCAGGGTCGCGGAAATATTATTATAGTCCCTCGCAAAAATGTTTCTTGTCGTTTTCTGCAATCGATAAAAGGAGGGTTTTTTGACAGTGCAATCTTTGCCGATGTCATCGTGATCAGCTTGACTTGAGCTTGATTTTCTAACTTGCTGCTCGATCTCCCGAGCATACAACTAGGCTCAGCTCAGCTCGAAAATTGAGCTGCTCGCACACCTCTACTGCACATTTTTTTTTTCAAATTGATCAGTCTTGACACCTTTAACCCTTTCAGTGCTAGGCCAATAATTCATATTTTGTAAGAATTTTTTGTTTGCCTTTTAATTCCATTACCCGTTGTTGAATTTTAACTGTCATGTTGTCACTATTTTATTAATTAGGCTAATTTTGAATAATAACACAATAAGAAAATATATAAGAAAGATAAATCCCGGTATTTGTAGTAAACATCAATTAAAACTTAGTTTTTGTAGTAATTTTCCTGGTTTTCCTATAAATTTTTATGTTCTGATAGCATTATTTGAAACCGAAATCTCACAAAATCAAAAGACATATAGTTTACAATGTAATATTGAATTTAACCCTGATTTAGTTGGACGAGGTTATTGTAATATAGCAATTTTAGGGAAACTAATGTTTTGCAGCAAAGTCTCAGGAACACATTTACTACTACTAAAACTAAAATATTGCATCTAAATAGTCCGTGACTAGCTGGTGCTGCTACCTAGTAACGCATTGAACAACCATCTGCAGCGCCATCTGTTCGCAATCGGTGGCGACAGCTTAAATACCGGGTTTTGACTCCCCAGTCTTCAAGCACAGATAGCCGAGAAGGCTAGGGCGTGTGTCACTTGGCCAGTGGCATTCGTCTGCTCGGGTTCGAATCCCGTCCTGTGTGGCAAATAATTGGTGACCTGTGTGTTTGTAGCGATATACTACAACCACTGGGGCATAGTGAGGTGTTCATAATCCTTGGTTTAGACATACACCTCGAAATCATCGGATTGGGCGAATCTTTTAGCTAAGTGGTTGGTAGTGTATCCTATGAAAATGCAGGTCACCCAATAACCTTCCTCTCTATATCCCTTAGGGTTTTTTTTAAACAACGATATATCGTTTCATAGCACTGAAAGGGTTAATATGTTTACCATATGTAATAATCTACTTGCCTATGCCAGAAGGTGTCAATTGTAGATATTATTCATGCTGTACATGTTTTCGAGCCTAACACGGCTCATCTTCAGCAGCATCCTTGTATTGAAAATTATATCTATATGTATGTATGTGTGTACAAGAATACTACTGAAGATGAGCCGACGAGAATACTACATGACTACTGAATACTACATGAATAACATCTACAATAATTGACTCCTTCTGGCAAACAAAATTAGATTATTAGCTATAGTAAACTGCACATATAATGGCCTCAGTAACAGTCAGTTTCTGATGGTTTGTACGATGTGCTACAGAAACGTGAGGTTTTCTATCAACACGCGAGTGTGTGACGTTTGATTGTAAATCTTACTACAGTTAGAAAATATTATAACAGATGAAATATTGCTTAAATCTTAGTTATAAGAGTATTTTGAACATAATACAGATGTTAACATAGTGTTTATTTACCAGAAATTACATTATAAATTGCATGTATTTAACTGTACGGTACTTACAATTTTCAAGCCAATTTCAAAGTAACGATAAAAATTGCAATATTCATAGTTTGTGAACCTAGGCATGGAATTTAATTTAATAATGTGAACAAGATCCCTTTTGAATTTAAGAAACTTGATATTTCTATCTGTGAGACATCTCATAAAATGCCTTGAAATCCGCAGGAAATGTAGAACTGCTGCCTCGCAAGTCTGTGTACCACCATGACGAGGGTGTGGCAGTTGGCAACACTGAAGTAGTAGATATCATCAGCCGACTGTTGAGGGTCAAGCGAGAAACGCTGTTGGCAGCACTGACTGCTAAACGAGCGAGAGCTTCAGGCGAGACATTGGTCATCAACTACAGACTCCCTGAGGTAACTTCGTCTTTACTATCAATTACCTAAGGTTCTAAAGGAGGCTCTTTAGACTATACCTCCACACTACTTGCAAGCCTCTCGTCAAAGAACACAATATTCTTATATTTTCATCCCCAGTTTTATATTGTTTCAAAAATATTTTTGTTTACAAGCTTATTACTATTTACACTCGAGAGAACAGTTATGATTTTGGATGCCTTAACAGATATATTCCTTTTCTGTAGGCTATAGCAGCGAGAGACGCCATGGCCAAGTGTCTGTACGGAGCGTTGTTTGATTGGATCGTACTGCAAGTCAACCACGCTCTACTGTCCAAGAAGGATACTCTCAGAGAACACCAGGGCAACTCCATCGGTGTCCTGGATATATTCGGGTTTGAAGATTTTGGCCCATACAACAGGTGAGTCGAGTTGCACTGTGTTAAATAATTCTGGCAAGTAGCTGCAAAATTTAGTTCCAATGCCTATAATTACACTTTAATAAACTTTCTTGCCTTCATCACTACAGGTGTTTCACTGTCCTTTATTCAGCGAGATGTGAACTTTGATAAACTTTGGAATGATTTAATTGATCTTGCATTTCAAAACGTAGTTTCAAAACTGATTATGTTTACAGTTTCGAGCAGTTGTGCATCAACTACGCCAACGAGCACTTGCAGTACTACTTCAACCAACATGTGTTCAAGTACGAGCAGGAGGAGTACCGCAAGGAAGGCATCCGCTGGAGCGACATTGACTTTCTGGACAATACAGCTTGCCTTCATCTGATAGAGGCCAAGCCTAGCGGACTGCTGTGTCTGCTGGACGATGAGTGCAAGTCAGTATACGACCTTGTGAAATAACTTAGCTCCTGTTATATAGGATTATTGTGGATATTTTCTACCAGAGTTATTCAAAAATACAAAGTTGAAGTTTCTTAGTCGGGATACTGAGCTTTTCATCAGGCGTGAAAGTAACTGAAACCTAACAAGATCAGCTCAAACTCAGCCGAAGCTGGTAAATAGAAAGAAACAGACTTTTCAATGTCTTCTTTGAGCCACCATCTTGTGCAGATGTTCTATTGTGTTTGCCTAACCTCCATTTGTACTGTTTATTGCTTTCTATGCGATTTTCCAGCTTTGGCTGGGTTTTTGTACTGAACATAAGGTATATTTCACCTTAAAACGAGATCAGATTGCAGATCCCTAAATATTGTGAAAACTTTGTTTTTTGTTAGTTAGTTGTAAAGTTTCTGTTAGTTGCACACCCAATCAATCATTTTGCCTATTTTTATTGTATAAGTGTCCTATGAAAGTGAGTGTATACAAATATTTGATTCAATTCAAAACATTTAAAGAAAACTAAGAAAAATCTGTTACAAAAATGAATTGTTAGTAAGAGTAAGCCTATCCCACAACATTTAACAAGGTGAAACCTTCACATTGAAGTGAAGTTTGGAAGCATAAATCTCCAAAATTCATCATGAGTCAAACCACTTGTTTTTCAGTATTTCTTTAATTTACCTTCATAATTCATGTTTTGCAGTTTCCCTGGTGCATCCAATGAGACCCTGCTGCAAAAGTTCAACTTGGTACACAAGGACAATGCCTTCTATGAGATGCCTCACAAGCGGGAGCCTGCCTTCATTGTAAGGCACTACGCTGGCAGGGTCAAATATCAGGTATTTACAACATCTTTTAAGCATGTTGACGTATATTAGTCTTTGTAATCATTGGCAATGAGAACATTCTGCATGATGAGTTCAAATTGCAACATTGAAAGGAAAAGTACAAGTCTGGGTATAAGTTCTGATGTAATTTTTTTTTTTTTTTGTTATAAAAGGTATAAAATTACCTGAGTACTGCCAGAATGATCCTGTTGGTCCTGGATTACGCGTTTCAAGGAGCTTAAGTCCTCATCATCAGATCTTGTACAAGAAACACATCTTTTTTTTTTGTCCTAGGACGCTAGGCACGAGCCTGGGATTGTTTTTCACATTACTTCAGGCTAGACCTAGGGGTTGCGGCATTATCATTTAGATAAAATCCATTGATGACTTGGCGGGATCGAACCCGGTACCTCAGGGACTGAAGTCCCACGCTCTACCCACTACACCAGCTCGCTCCCCAATAATGGGATGTAATGGACCCAGTGGTTTGAAACCAAACCTATCTAGGAAAAAAACTATCTAGAATGCCTAAGTTCCTCATAATATTTTATTTCAGGTTGCGGAGATGCGGGAAAAGAACCTGGACCTGATGAGGACTGAGATGGTTGGCGTTTTGAAAAACTCCTCAATGGCGTTTGTGCGAGAGCTGGTCGGCGCAGACCCAGTGGCGGTGTTCCGGTGGGCCATCCTGCGTGCGTTCTTCAGAGCACACTTTGCGTTCAACGAGGCTGGCCGGCGCCATCGCCAGTTCAGAGGTAACAACTAAGAATTGAAAATGCCCCAATTAGTATTTTTCCTACTCTATCTCTAAAGCTTCAGAAACAGTATAGTTCATTTCCATTCATCTGACTTTCTATCATGAAACAATTTACAGCTATCACCAATGATTGAGATTTGCTGTAAATCCTATAGTTAGTTAATTTTTTCCTCAAAAATCTTTTATTAAATCACAATAATCGTTTCACAAAACATAAAGTCATTGATGTTGATGGATAAGATTTTCTAAGAAACTGTGTACTTGTAAGCCATCTCAGTTTCTAAAGAAACCTCTTTTTTCAGATGGATCCAGGCCAAGTCTTGTTCATAATAGATATCGCAATGAAAACTTAATCAGGTAAATTATTTTCAATTGCTAATTATATATATTGCAGTGCCATACCCATTATTAAATTTTTTTTGTAGATACAGTGTTTGAAATCGTGTGGCTATCATAGTTGCTAATATTTGTACTACACTTTGTACATATTCCCAGTTTGTACATCCGTTATATCTCGGCAAAGCATAAAATGAAAGTATTATCTTGTTCTTAGTTTTCACAGTATTGAGAGTTAAGTATTCTGTTTGAAGATCAATACAAGCGTGCTTTTATTGGTACTCTGGCAAACTAAAAGATTTTATTAGTTTTAAATTGATCCTATGTAGTTGCCAAATAGTTATACTACTTCCACTTGCAAGTTGCACAGTTTACTCCGTAGTTGTGTACGTTACCAGTAAATCAGTTTTACACGGTTGTTCTGTTTTGTAGCCATCTTGTGACCGTGTCATCAGTTAACCTCACGGTTAACAGGATAGCGTAAGTTGAGCTCCAAATAAGTGTTTCATTGTCAACCGGGGATGGGCGAGTACCTTGATATTGAAAGTATGAAGTATTGAAAGCAATTGTTATAAATAAACTTCTCCTGGTGTTACTTAAGACCCGTAAATAATTAACAATAATTTTATTAAGGAAATTGACAGGAAGCAGGCTTACCTTTAAATAAATCCATAGAGACACATAAAATATACAACACAAAAGTAGGAATTTTCATTGGAGAAATGTCAATGGCAGTTGAACCAGCCACTTGACCGCAAAAATTTCTACTTTTGTGTTGTATATTTTATGTGTCTCTATGGACTTAAAGGTAAGCCTGCTTTCCTGTTAATTTCCTCAATAATTACAGGCAAATGCCCTATCTTTTTATCAGATAACATTAAATTTAAGTTTTTAATTTTTTTATCAATAATTTGTTATTGAAAAATAAAAACAGCTGGATGAAATTGTAATCCGAACAAATGAAGGACTATACAAATGTAGCTTATTGTTAGAATGATAATTTAAAACCTTGAAATAAAATAAAGATGTTAAAAAAATAAAGAATAAATTTTAAATTATTTTCACGTCCAGTTCAATTTTATGATTGTTTCCGTTTCTTTGAATAGTTAATTTGTGGATTGTGTTGTGAAACTACCGTAAAATTAATCTGAGTTTATTATAACTGGGAGGTATTGTGACTGGCCTAAAAATTATATTCCAACATTTCAAAAAAGCTATAATTTTGTCTTTTATTAAAAAATGGGTAGCCTATTATGGGTATCTAGATTACCAAGATATAAGTTGTTTAAATAACTGTGTTATCCGTAATCTAGTGGTTTGCTGTGGCAACTAGTTTCGGCTCACATCAGAGGCGTTACAAGGATAGGATAGCTTCTTCCGAAGGTCGCCATGTTTCACACACGCCTAATAATCTAGAAGTACACTCCCACCGGTTGCATCGTTAGAACTCTAGTCATGCTCAATATCTTTGTTGTTTTCACATTATAATGAGCCAAAACTAGTTGCCACAGCTACCAATTGATTGTCGATAGTACGATATCTACACTACTTATCGTATCTATCCTTAAAAGAAGTAAAATATTTCCCTTCAAGCTTAAGACTAGTGCTCGTCCATCCCTCAAGTTAACAGGTCTTCTTATTATCTTTGGTTGGAGTTTGGTTATGCACTAAATTTTTGTTTAAACAAGTTTTCTTTTGTTACCTCCTTAAACCTGTTTTGATGTGTAACTGTTGTGTGATATAATTATTTTGTTATTAATGTTCTGTTTTGTTAATGTGTTCTATTGTTTTACATGGACGTACACATTTTTTATCTAACTAAGACTACTTTTAAAATTTGATTGTTTGAATAAATACTGGAAGTCTATATCAGAGGAAACAGGAAACTGTACTAAGAAATATTTTTACATACATACGATTCAGTCAGGGCTTCACACCACAGGCACTCAAAGTGTATGTGGTATAATTTGCAACAATTAGAAATTAGAATTAACATTTACATTATACCAACAGATTTTATTTTAAAACATAACCTGAAGAATATGTTTGGCTTAATAGCATTTGTCAGCTATCAAAAACATTATTTGCTTATTTGTATTTCCAAACAAAACCAACTATCTAAAGAGAATCATTTAACAACTTTAATTTATTTCATTAACATATATGTTTAATGTTGAGTAAAATGTAATACTGTAAAACTTGGTGAATTATCAGTTTACATTTTTTTCCACAAACTGTCATAATTATTTTACTAACTAAGATAAAAGGAACAAAGAGTTGAAAATAACGGGTTTTGGGTGAATGTGACAGATTGTACCCAAGATACGGTGCTAGCACTTCTAACTTACCAACGAAGACGAAACAAAACAACGACAAGTTCGACGAACAACGAAAAGAGCCACAAAGAAACAACCGTTTCAGTTGGCCGAACCAACAACCAACGAATCAGACAACGAACAAACAACGAACCCCAGACAGCGACAAAAAACCTGTCTTCCGACGAGCCATTAATCCTGAGGATGCTAAAGTTTTTGAACGTGCGACTCAAATCGTGATGTATGTATTGGGACTTGTTTATTCGGTTGGTGGCGGGAATTACTGGTGGTGGTGGACTAAACAAGGAAGCTTAGTGTTAACACATTTTAGTTCTTAGATCTGCATAATCTTACTGAATACGTAACTATTTTAGTTTGTACATATTGAGTACTATACTGTAGTTAATCTGCTTATTTCTTATTTATTTTTTGGTTAGAGAAGGTTTTTTGTCTGCTACTTAAATGTAACTGAAGTTTTCACTCAGGAGTAAATTATGTATCAGATTGGACCCACTGTATTAATCAAAGAGTTCACAAATATATTTAAAAATTTGCCTTAAGCTAAAAAAAAAAACTCCTTACGAATGTTGGTTGGAAAAAAATTAAATATTCAAGGTTTCTCTGTAGTCACTGATTTGCTAGACTGTTAAGAATGTAATTTTGTTTGCTCCTTTTTAAAGAAAATGCAATACTGGTTAGAACTGTTAATACTATAGCATTGCCTTTAAACTGCAGGAAATACACCAACTTACTATAGACTGTTTTGTTGACCTTCTCTTGCATCTTTTGTTAGGGATAATATCCGTGTTACCTGATGTAAAGCTATTTGATGAATCTGATTAAACTGAAATAACAACTTTTTAACGACACTTCACAAACACTATTTGCATTTTTCTGGAAAGTGATTCAATCCATTCTATTTTTCTGACAGTATATGTCTGCTTGTAGGAAGAACAAGTCCTTCAGACCTCGACAGCAGGGCAAGAAGGGATTGAAGAACCTGGAGAGTATCAAGACGCTGGCTGGCCGGACACAGACACACACACACAAGGCGCGTAAACAACCACTCACGGTGACGGCCCAGTTCCAGCAATCCCTGCACAGCCTCATGGATACGCTCAACCAGGCCAACCCGTTCTTTATACGGTGTATCAAGAGCAATGCGGAAAAGGTGGGTCTGAGTTCCTCATACTTGTGGTTAATTTTCGTTTGGTACTGTGATTTGTTAAGGAATATTCTTGAATGCACAACACACTCCTTGTTCTCATCTATTTGGTTTAGGCTTGAGATGGTTAAGACTAGTGACGGTGGAAACCGGAAATTTTTAATATAAAAATCATATCTCAAATATTGAAATCTGTACGCAACACTTTTTACCTGCCTGGTTAAGATTGCAAAAAATTTGGGTAAAAATTATATAATGTTTATTTTGCAATCAATACTGAAAGAAATCGGACTTTTGACCCTGACATATCAACATGAATAACATGGCTGATACACCTAATCCTAGAAAACAAAATTTGTGTCGACAACAAACACAGAAATTAATTAAACTTCTGACTGGCATTGTAACATAAATAAGAGAAATTGAATCGGTACTTAGTTTTGAATCTTAAAACTAAAACTTTTTAAGTTTGGGTGCTTTTGAGATATGAAATTGGGTTTTGCCTCATCACGGGATAAGACAACATGTTTTTGGCCATAGACAAAAAGAATTAAATATAGATAGACAGCAGTGCTGCGGTTGGCATATGTTCTAGCATCCACCGATAGGATTGTCTTGTAGTTACGGTGCACACCGCTGCAGCGTCTGCTGGTAGCCGACCACGGCAGCAAATTGGACATCGAGCACGCTCTAGCGGCACATTCCGGAACCTTCCTTTGACAGTCTATATTCATTCTATTTGTCTATGGTATGAATCACAATTGTGCCGCTATGGGCATAGTCACATATAGTTTGCTATTTTTTCACACATAGGCCTAATGCGTGGTTTTGAGAAGAATTAATTTGTTATTATTATGACATCTGACAAGGATAGTCCAGAAGAAGTCTACCTATCTGTGTATTACAAACTAGGATCTTTAAAACCAGTGTTTACTTATTTAACTTTATATAACATGTGAACCTATTTAACTATGACTTCCCTTTACAGATTCCAAACACATTTGATGATGACACAGTCCAGAGACAGCTGAGGTATACAGGCATGTTGGAGACTGTGAGGATTCGACAAGCCGGATACAACGTCAGACTCACCTTTGATGAGTTTATCCAGCTTTACAGGATACTTCTACCTAGAGGATTGCTCAGGTGGGATAGTCAAATCTCAACTGTGTCTTGGCTCATTTACTTTGAGAAGTGTATGGTATTAGAACTAAGATGACCATAGAGAAGTAAGGTACAGAGGAAACTTGCTTATGGGACAAGTGTGCACTTTCTGCTCTAGCATGTTGTGCTGAAAATATACTTGTGACAAGCAAGGAAGATCTTGAGCAGCGAGCACTGTGTTGGAATTCCTATCACACAGGGCACAGGGTCTTCCTCCACCATGAGTGTTGTAGTACATGATGGCAAGAGGAAGGGGGGGGGGGGTGTTCACTTGGCCTCTCCATCTTCTTCTGTCCTTCTACAAATCCTCTTCCTCCACAAACTGCCACTGCACTCCTCTTGCTTCCACATCTCCTTTCACCTTGTCAATCCACCTTCTTCTATGTCTTCCTCTGGGTCTCCTGCCGTTGGCTAACTCATGTTTTTGGGAATTCTATCATTTTCGGCTCTTAAGTGGCCCAACTATCTCATTCTTGATTTTTCTGCTCGCTAAAGATTCAAGATTGAACATCCAGTGGATGTATGCCTATGTTCTATACATCCAATGTTCTTGTTAACAGTAGAATGATACATGTTTGTGTGGACAGCTCTCAGAACGACGTGAAGGACTTCCTACTGACGGTGAACCTCAACAGAGACAACTACCAGGTGGGAAGCTCCAAGATATTCATGAGAGAGAGTGAGAAACTCAAGCTGGACTACAAGCTGCATCAGCAGATCATGGCTGGCATTGTCAAGGTGAGTGTCCGATATCAGCTTTACAGATCCAATACTACATTCAGTTGGAACTAGTTTCTACTAAAGCAGAACTGCAATGGGGCTGTACCACGGATGGTAACAAGTTTGAATAATTGAATTTAGAAAAAAATTGGAGTATTTTTATGGGTCTCCGAAGATTTTGGGATTGAAAAATTTACTCTAATGCTGCAGTTGCGAAGGACAGTGATGACATGGGAGAGATGATGAATTTCTCATGACTGTAGGAGACAATGGTGACGTCTACACAACTGCAGGAGATGATCCGTATTTTGCATGATCACGGATTATATAGATTCTTTAATATGGATGTAGTTTGGATGATTGGAGTTCTGTACTTGAAATGAGGCGTAAACAGTCACACTTAACTTCAATATTGTTGACTTGGTAATGTGTCAAATTACAGGCAAGTTTAGCTGTTGTTTCAGTCTATGACATCTCTGCGCTCTTGTAGCGAAAGTCAGTAGTGGCGCTTTGTTACTGCCTGAAGTTGGCAATCTGCGACTACTGCAATGCCAGTTCAACTTAGGCTGTATTATCACACGGGTTTACCCTAAAATCCCTGATAAACAGTTAATAAAGCTGTGAAGTTGGTTTTTAGAGTAAAGTTCTGTTTTAAAAACATATAATATTATTGTACCAAACCTTAAACAATATTTAATAGACTTTTGGAGATAGGATATTTTTAATTGTAAGGAAGTTAAATGTCACTCCTCTTCACTATCATTTTATATTTCAGGTTCAAAGGTGGTTCCGAGCTGTGTTGGAACGAAGAAGATTTGTAAGGCTGAAAGAAGCTGTCGTTACAATACAGGTTTGTATTGTTTTTTTAGGATTATTTCCCTGTAAAATGCCTTTTATTTCAATTTTGTTTTACAATAATATACTTATTAGTCTACTTTAAACTAGATTACTTTATAGTCAAGTGGTTTCTAAAATATTCACCACTGCTTGGTTTAGTAGTTGCTTAGTTTTTGGGGAGGATTCACTCTGCCAACAATCACTCCAAGCAAAACGTACTTGAGACAATCATGTCAATCACTCAGACATTAATTCTTGTACAGTTTTTTGTTCCCTCTTTTATAATAGTGCAACAAATACATTCCTTTGTGATATATATCAGGTATTGCACTGACCAAGCATATTTATCTCCGCTGCTCTAGACCATGTATATTTTTTATATCTGTTAAACTGTATTTGCATGAAACCACTTGGCGGGTAGGTTACTTGGCTCATATAACTTAAAAAACTCTAAAAGTAGTAACTTGTCCGTGCCTTCCTGGCCTTGTGTAAACGCAGCTTTAATGACTTAACCAGTGTCACTGTTTCTGTTATACTCCACATTCCATTATTCTTTCCCTGTTGCAGGCGTACTGGAGAGGCGTGTTGGCTCGCAAGCAGGTGTACCAAGACAAACAGTGGAGCTCGGCGGCCGTGCAGATACAATCAGCCTGGCGCGCCTACTCCACCTGGCGTTGGTACCAGAAGCTCAAACGGAACATCATTGAGTTCCAGGCACACGCTCGCGGCTACATCACCCGAAACAGGGTGCGCTCCATGGTTCCTCGGAAGGTAGGTTTTGTTTTAGTTTATTCTATTTGGAAAGATTCGCTTTTAGTCAGAAAAGTGTTGTCCTTGTTTTGAAGGTAATGTGATACTAAAACCTGGTGGTGTAACAAAAGATATTGTAACCTCAAAGTAGGGATGGACGAGATTGGATATTAAGTTCAAGACAAAACGAAACAAGATTTTTTATTTCTCATAAAATTTCGAGACGAGATCGAGACGGGATTTCCCTTCTCATACACAACGGGAAATACACGTTCAAAATTTTTACCTGATTTTGTAACATTGTTAGATGACTGTTTAAATACAAAAATAATGATAATAGGCAAGAATATTTACAATATTTTATTAAAAAACATCAGCATAACATTTTGTTATTAATCACGCCTAACTTATTAAAAATGCCTACGATTAGAAAACATAGTGATATCAGTTAGGATAGAGTTCAACTTATCCTAAAATAAAATAAATCATAAAATAAAAGCAATATTAATTTTTATAAAATAGTTACTTGTTTTGACTTTTTATAGTAATAAAACATTCCTCACACTGCTTACACTTAACAAAACTTCTCAAATGTTATTAAAGTAATATTATTTAAATAATTAAAGTAATATTTACATTTAAAGAATTAATTAAATAAGAACGCCTTCGCAAAGGAAACGCAACTACAACACGCTCCTGTATTGCATTGCATTGACTTTCTGCAGGCGTTTTTAAATTTAAATTTTTTTTTTTTTCTCGTCTCGATAAAAATCTCGGCCAAAAAGAAATCTCGTCTCGTGTAACGAGATTTAAAATTTCCCGAAATTTCGAGACTTGACCATCCCTACCTCAAAGCAATATGCCTAAAAACTTCCTCTCATTCGCTAGCATACTGTACACTACTTGTCGACTTACCCACGTTTTATCTCATTTGTATTTTTTCCAGGCAAAGCTAACCAACAGTAGACCACCCTTGTCAACAGAGACGAGCCACGAAGATGTCGGCAGCAGGGATTCTGAGTAAGTATAACTTATCTTACTTAGTCGTTGTTAAAATTATTATTGATATGACAAATTTGATTTGTTTTTTTTTTTTAATACAAAATTTAGATTTAATTATTTATTGTAATTACTAAACCTTTCTCGTAGGAGCAGTGGGGTCCATGAAGATAGTGATAATGAACAAAACCATGAACCACTTGCCAGGCGAAATCAGCAAGACGACACTTTACATGAAATAAGGTAAAATTAATCCCATCACTTGGTTGATATAATCTAATGTCTGGGTCCAAATATATTACGATAGAGAAACGGCATATCGTTCCAGAGTTGCAATTAATCTTGAGTTTCTTGACATACATGAGTAGTGCATGCATATATTTCCTTGCAAAAAGGATTTGTATTATGTGGGAATTATCATCACCCAACTATTAACTTAATGTGGTTCGATTTGCTGATCGGTTGGTTGTCATATTGTAACGAAGTGCAATTTTCAATGTTGTTTTTGCTGCTTTTGGTTTTTTTTATCGCCTGGTTGCAGTGACTTACGATCACTGGAGCAAAGAACATAAATGTGAACGAGTCTTAATAGTTCATGAATTATCGCTTAATAAATATAAAGTTTTTATTTGCTTGAAATATATCTACGAAATTATTTGAATTGTTTGAAACTCTTTAGATATTTGTACTTAAATCAACACACGGTTACAGAGTGGGAGACCCTAATAAAGAAATACAAACAAAGAAGAAGTTATCACCGAGGCGGAGTAAAAACACTTTCTACCTGGAAGACAGTTCCCTGGGTAAGTTAATTTTACCTATTTAATTTTTGCACACTTAAGGTAGCTTACGTACCGTAATGCATTAGTTTGTAATGTATTTTGATTAGTTTCCTTTGATCTATTTGCACTTTTTGATTGAATGTTGCAATGACGTTTTTGTCAAATTAAACTTCATTCTATTTAGTTCCTTTTGAATGTCCTGCATCACGTGATAAAAAGTTGGTTGATTCCATGAAATGATTTTTGTACTTTGGCTTGTTTATCTAATGCATTAATTTGTTCCTTAATACCTTATTTTTAAATGTCCTTAAAAAAAGCTACTTTTTCCAACACATTGATGAACACACTGTTAATTTTTTGCATACCTAAAAAAAAGGCAATACGTTGTGTAATTAATAATTTTCACCAAGTTAAAGGGTCTTGAGAAATTTTCCCATTTCAAACACAGTTACTGTAAAGATTAAAATTATTATGACAAGCTATTTACATATTGCCTGAAGGTGATAAGCTGACTTCTCAAGCTTTAAACATGTACAGCATGAAACGTAACTACATTTGTCACCTTCTGGCAATACGCAAGTAGATTATCATCTACAATTGATTAATAGGGTGTCAAGGCTGCTCAATTTAAAATAGCAATATAATCCAACCTGTTGGGTGAAGTATTTTATATGTTTTATTTCATTTTCTGTTGTCTTTGCTTTACCATTTGCTATATGTACTAGCAAAAAATAATGTTTTACATAATTGGTTTTCCCTAACCTGCAAAATGTATGCTTTGGCATTTAACATTATTCAAATAAATTTGTTTTGTGTCTGCATGAAACTATCCTATAAGATCTAAATTTGGGTATTTAAATTTTAGACAAACTGCAACAGATATTTGTTTTGCTAGATACAACTACATATTTTTATTTTGTCAATTAGTTTACATAGCATTATCTGTGTGCCAACACATGTGGTTGTGTGAGGTGTTGGTAGCTTGTTTGTCGCACTGCCACGTTCGCTGTTTGCACGTGTCTGTTGCATGTGCAGACGCCAAGGAGCGCAAGGGCAGTAGTGATTCGCTCACGTCCACGCGGAGCAGCGACTCTCAAGTGCGAGACACGCTGTACAGAGCCAAGCGTCAGATCCAGGCGCTCATGGGTACGATTCACTATTAGGGTCACCTTGTGCTTTCTATGCTATGTGTTCTCTGTAAAAGTTAAGCTATGTTTTACGTGTTTTTGTGATGTTAGCTGAGTGGATTCCATAAGGTCGATGGTTTGTGGAGAAAAGTTAGTTGGTTTTTGACAGTTTTTAGAAAATAGTATCAGCTTTCCTTGATCAACTCACATAGGATTTTTAATCGAGTCAAGCTTACTGGGATCCCAATAATAACATTGAGTGAGCAAGAATTTCTATAAATGAAAGTAAATTAAGCTTCTGCTTGGCTTCATTTACTGACTTGATGCTTGATCTATCGAGCTTTAAAATTAAGTGGTTTAAAAAGCTTGCAAGTACTTACAGTGCCAAACATAATTCAACAAAAGTTGCGGTAGAATAAGATTTTCTATTTTTAAAGACATTTTGACTTGGCCGTCAGCTCCTGATTTTAGATGTAGGCTATTGGAACAATTTAATTCTGATTTGTTTTATTAATGTGAACAGTAGAGAGGTTTAACCTGTAGAATTCTCATTGTGTTAATGTACTATATACATCCCGATACAAATCGTATTCCAGAGGAGCTAAGTCCTCCTAGTCCAAGAGAGGAGGGGAGGTGGCAGAAAGGTCTGGGGTTGGTCTCTAGAAAGATTAGGGGTAAGGACGAGGAGTAACCCTTAATCTGCCCCACCCATCAGTTTGTGTAAAATAACCCCTTTAGTTTGTGCTAAAGCCGTGTTGAGTTTCCCTGTAAAATTTTAATTTTTTAATCAAATTCATTCATTATTTTTTAAATTGTAGTTTTTTTGCTCCAAAAGACTCACACTCATCCTTACTCACTGCTAGTGTAGCTGTCACTTTGAAAGTTATAAGTCTAAACTTGATATAAAGTATTTATAACTGGTAGTATGATGTTTTAACTTAATTGATCTTATCCCCCCTCCCTGAATTTAGGAAAGCACAGTGTCTATGATTTTTGTAGCTTTGGCAACCGTTTTGCTCAGTAATTAATTATCTGCTTTTTTTCCTAAGAAGGAACGGACGCGTTGCAGAAAGTCAACAGTGCCGGAAGGTCAAATAATTTATACCTGTGCCGCTAGGTCAAAAACTACAATGTTTGCAGTGTCTGTAGATCAAAAATCCTAGTAAGTCAAATAATACAGTCCGTGCTAAAAACGTAGTCTATGTCAAAGGTATTGACTTATTGGGAATTTGACCTAATGCAACAGCAGTTTTAATATAACGAAATAAGATAAAATATAAGTTCAGTTTCGCTGAGTCAACAGTGTCAGAAGGTCAAAAGTATAATCTGTTAAAAACAACGATAGTCCTCTCGACGCATGACTTCAATAATTTCGTTTTTTGGTGTACTTAAAGTTGTGCTAAAATTTTGAAAATTGGCACAGAGCTTCTTGGTTAGTCCTACTCGATGACTATTTTGTTGGAACTTTAAACTATTTACCGATCTAATTAATAAAAATTGATATGTATGGTGAAATAGTTTTAAATCGTGATTTCTAACATGAAAAAGTTACCATGCGAGATTTTTGTTTGTTTTTGGGTTAGAGAGGTTTTGTCTGTGGCAAAGTTGTAGCCAAAAGTGTGATGGGTAAAATATATTTTTTTGAATTTTTTACAATCAGTGGTTCAATAGATAACTTGGGTTGAAGAGGACGGCAAATTTAGCATTTCGCAACGCATGGAAAGAACTACATCGTACGATACGACTGCTGAGTGGACTTTTAATTTACAGTTCTAAGGACAAGAAAAAGATGAATATACAGATCACCATATTATTCATATTATAGAGAAGAGATAGATATTCATATTATTTATAAAAAATCTTTCTGTATTACCAGCTTACACTTTTCACTTATATTAATAAGAATACATCATATACAGGGTGTTAAAAAAGAGCGGGGAGATACTTTACCTAGTAATTCCTTGGGTCAAAATAAACAGAAAATGAAGGATAACATTTTTTCCAAAATCGTTTCGTTAACCAGATATCCGCCATTTAATATTTTTTACATACAAATATTTATTTATACACTCTTCCAACCGATGTTTATGAAACTTGGTATGTATGTTAAGGTAGGAGAGACCCATGTTATTAAAAAGATTCATCTCGATTCACCTTAACATTTCAAAATTTAACACTTAACTACAATATAATATACTTTACCACACCACAATATTTACGTATCACCATAAATCTTTAATAAAATAAAACGTTCACATTTTTAAAATCCAAAGTAAATCAATATAATCTTTCTTTTTTGAAAAATATAGTAAAAAAAATATGGCGATGTTAAAATAACGACAGGCGAGTTTCGATCTGGGTGTTTCAGGTTTGAACCTAGGAGGATTTAACATTAATTAACATTAATGTTTAATCCTCCTAGGTTGGAACTGATTGAGAGGAATACATCAAACCGAAGGGAGAGGGATCACAAGTGCCAATTACAATTTGATGGATTTGACCAAAACCTTTTCTATTTCACTTATTTTCAGCTGTTAAATTTCAAACGATACGTTTTAGCTACATCACATGATTATCATCATCATCGTTTGAGTTTGGGTTTGCGGCAATGTATTTTTATGAATAAAACCTTTAATTTGATACCAAACTTGACCTCTGCTGCTATTAATTGACTGTATGGACTATTAATTAACAGCTGTGTCTAAGGATTATGTTCGCCTTAGTCACTAATAGGACAACAAGATCGCTCCACTCATCACACACTCATCTCCATTCATATTTGGCTTAAAATGCATACATTTGTATGGTCGCCATTTCAAAAACAGGTAAAATAGTATTAAAATTATATAAGAATTTTGTCTTAGTCTTTGTGGTCCATCCCCCTTAAGGGATAAAAAAGTTATAATAGCTTAAGACAGTAGATATTTATGGCTATTATTGATATACCAAGTCTCACTACTTTATCTATATTGTTTAAAAAATATAGCCAATCCAGGACTTTTCAACCATACTGTATAACGCCAACACGAAATTTTTCCGTTGAACTCCTCCGCATTTCTTAGGCGATTTTGACCATTCATGTCTCAGAAAGAGCGTGTCACGTACATTTGCAAACCAACCTTTCGTTTTTTAAATCCCTTGGGCTCAGCCCCAGTGGCTCTTAAAGAACCCATGTTATGCCTATGAAGAACATATTGATTTATTTATATTAGATCAGCTCAATTAATTGCTGTTATGCAATTCAAGGAAATAAAATCCTTATTACACTGATGAAATCGGGGAAGTTTTTAACTAAAAAAGATCCACTAATACGATTTTAATACTGTTTAAAGGTTCTTCCAAAGTATGGGAAATATTTTATTCGTTGAATGATCAACCATATTTGGTAACTAACGCAATTAATATCATTATTGTTTTTACACTTATTTACTCTTTAAACAATGTTAAATGCTCAAAATATGTATAATTTTACTCAATTTATCGCAGTTAGATGAATTAGCGTAAGCCTTGAAAGTAACCGTCGATTTCGACGGGTTTCACCTAGTATTTACTATTTCGCTTTGGGTTTGCTGGATAATTTAATCCATTTTACCAAACAATAAAAATTAATGGACAAAGTACGATATTTCATGAGCAATCATTGAAAGGACCTATTGAAGTCCTCATCAACCAAAAGAATGCCTACTAAAGCAAATAAAATTGAGACGAACATGTAGGCCCTAATGCACGAAATCAGGTGGTTCTTAAGTATGTGGAAAAATGTATCGCTATTCAAAAACAGACGGAAAACTTGTAAACATATTCGTGACAACGGGTGTAACATGGCTACATTATCAATGACAAACGTGGACAACCTTATACAAGTGTGAGTAAGTCCGAAAACAGAGTAAGTCCGAAAACAACTCTAAAAAACAATAAGCAATAAATTGCAAGAACCGTTGCTTATATCATTGGGTATACACGTATCTACTGACGTGTATACTCAATGCTTATATCGAACTGTTAGGTATATGTACATCGTGAGTATTTCCATTAGTTGTTCTATTTAGTTGTGTGTCCGTTAGTATAATATTTTAGTTTACTCTTTTAAAGTCAGCGGAAATTGTAAGTGTTATCACCCTTGAAATAATGTTTGTGTAGTACTTTGCAATCCTACCAATGCTTATAGAATCATACGATAAGAATGTTCTGGTTAGAATATGTCGCATAGAGTGGTGACTACTGTATCTTTTTGGTTTCCTTGTAAAACAGGATCAACAGAGATTTTCTATCGACTTAAACAATACGATACTCCCAAATTGTTCATTGCAATAACAAAATATCACACAGTTTGATGAATATTTGTGTGTAAACCACATACAGTACACCTGTATTCTATCTATTTTACCTTTTATTTTTCCAAGACTTTATAGAAAATCACGCATTACGTGATCAGTGAAGAAAGGCTGTATCCCATGTGTTTTATAGGTAAAGAAGACAAGGGCGGTCCTAGACATATATTTTGGGGGGGTCACCGTGGGCCTGGGGGGTATGGAATACCCCCCAAAAAGGAGGGGGGTCCTGGGGTTCCCCCCGGAAAAAATATATATAAATAAATATAGGCTATACAGGGTGATCAACTCAATGAGGCCACCATTGGGATATCGGAAACGGTAAGAATTAGAGAAAACTTAAAATGGGGGACATTCCTTTATTTTTTGTGGCAGTTAAAAATATGATTTTAGTTTTTTTTTATTCAGTCACCATTTTCCAAAATGACGGCCAAATTTGAAATTTCTTATAGAACACCGGATAGAATAGGCAATTTAAAAACTTTTTTATCCCAAACATTTTTTCGATAAACCCATTCGTTTAGGATTTACAGCCTATGAAAAAATGACTTCCGGTGTACATTTTACATCATGTAGCTCCTAAACAAGTACGTTTATAGCAAAAGTGCGAAGAGTAAAAAAGTCTTACAACTGCATCCACATACCAATAAGACCATACAATTAATTAAAAATATGAATTAAATTATTTAAAAAATGGCGGCAAACTTAAAAAGTTAGTTTTATTATATAGTCTTTAAGGAATGTAGATGCAATTCTAAGACTAATTTACTTTTTGCAATTTTGCTCTAAACTTGCTCGTTTAGGAGCTACATGATGTAAAATGTACACCGGAAGTCATTTTTCCATAGGCTGTACTCCTAAACTAGTGGGTTTATCGAAAAAATGTCAAGGCTAAAAAGTTTTTAAATTGCATATTCTATCCGAAAACATGATAAAAAAACTAAAATCATATTTTTAACTGCCACAAAAAATAAAGGAATGTCCCCCATTTAAAGTTTTCTCTAATTCTTACCGTTTCCGATTTCCCAATGGTGGCCTCCTTGAGTTGATCACCCTGTATATATGAATTTGAACGGATGGTGTTTTTGGTCTCTAGGGACCTCAAAACGAAAAATTAAATCGGGCCTGGGTCCAGGTGTTACCATAAGTACTACGGTAATAGCTTATTCCCTATATGGGAAATTCGCCAAAAACCTAATAGTTATATAGAACAATATTACATCCAACCAGCTGTTAGTTAAAACAAATTATATGGGACTAAAACAAATCGATGATTACAAAGATTCCTTTAAAAAATAATTTGAACATCCTACTATTTTACTATGCATATTTAATTAATCTGCCATCCTCATACCTAAGAATTGAATGTATCAATGGTCAGCATTACACATAGTATAAATAAGTCAACTCTCAATATTTGTTTCCAAATGCTGAATTTGTGTCACAAATGCTGAATGTTTACAGCTGTTATGTTAAGCAAATTATATTGTACTAAAAGCTAGCTTAGAAGGTTAGCGTCGGCTGGTAGACTTTTTAAAAATTAAAACTTAATTTCTAAAAAACTGGGACCCGTAATTATAATTATGGCTTTGACATTCCCTAGTTCTCAAAATTATCTTTCTTTCAACACAAAAATAATGAAAATCCGTCGACTGGTTGATTCAGAATGTGAAAAAAACCCCAATTACGTTTTAATAATATATATGATAGTTTGGACAGGTTTCAACCCTTCCGAGGCGTAATATTTACACAGTTTATTTGTAGACTACATTATAACTCATAAAATAGTTCTAAAATTAAATGGATCTCCTTTTACAAGTGTATATAATAACCAGAAATTTTCAGATCGTCCTTGCGTGTATTTCATGCCACAAATTTTGACGAAAGGCTTTTTATTACATAAACTATACCTATTTACAGTGTTGACCAAACAGTTAGCAAGAAGCATTAATAGATAAGCTATATACCAAATATGATAATTTTAGCTCTATTCTAATTATGACAAAACACGAAGTAACTAAGAGCGAGTTTTGTTGGTGTAGTAAGCGTTGCAGGAGGTCTACTTTACACTGAATCGACGTTCACTTTTATTGCTTTTGATCTTCCGGCACTGTTGACTCAGCGAAACTAAACTTGTATTTTACCGTATTTCGTTATATTAAAACTGCTGTTGCATTAGGTCAAATTCCCAATAAGTCAATTGCTTTAACATAGACCACGTTTTTAGCTCGGACTGTACTATTTGACTTACTGGGACTTTTGATCTACAGACACTGCAAACATTGTAGTTTTTGACCTAGCGGCACAGGTATAAATTATTTGATCTTCCGGGACTGTTGACTTTAAGCAACATTCCCGAAGGAACTCAGTTAATATATAATAAGAATATTTTGAACCAAATTCACTGCCTATAGAATTAAATTAAAAGTCAAATGTTGAACATTTTGTATTTCACTAATTAAACCAGCAATAATTTAACAATTTCTTGTTCCCCATAAGTATTCGACTCTTATACTTTGAAAAGGTTATTTATCTAAAAAGTAAACCCACATCTATTCCTGAAATCAACGATGTACACAGTATTAACTGTATGTTTTGTACTTCAATAAGTGGGTCTTGATTTATTTATTTATATTCTTCACTATCAGCCCCCACCAGAACCAGCAATTACCAGTAAATCATCAATTAGAAATACTTATTGGGATTTGTATATTCTCCCCCCCCCCCCCCCCATAGATCGCAAGGCTCTAGGCATGCGGCATCACCACTTAGATGAAACCAAAATTCATTTATGATTTGGCGGGATTTGAACCTGGGACCTGAGGGACCGCGTTCTACCACTAAACCGCTCCCCATATAAGGGTAATGACCGTGAGTTAGGATTTTATTAAATCCGTTCTTGTTAATAAGACCAAGGATTAGCCTAGCAATAAAATTGGAGGGACTTACTATTTATTAATAGTTCAAGTTGCCTGTAATAAGCTATTGTGGGAATTTAATGGTTAAGTTAATTTTTTTTGTATGCCTAAAAGCTGGCATTTTGCTTACCTTAATGTGTGTCCACCAAAAGCTTGTTATTATTTGGATTGTGTCCATATGGTTAGGTGAAACATGAAAATTACCTTATTTATAACCCTTAAATAGAGTTTAAAGGTTTTTATTAACTCTAATTCAACCCACCTTTGTCAATGTTGTAGGTGTTGGAGCAAACAAGAAGACAGACACACTGAGCGATTGTGAGATGGACGATGTGAGAGAGCCGTTGTATCATCCGATGATCGTGACTGGACGTGCACCTACAGTGGACGCCGAGCCACTGGCACCGACACGGTTGGCGCGGCGCCGAGACAACGCTCAGCAAATGTCAGTAGATCACCCCCATCGTATACCTCTGTAATAATGCTGAAGAACAGAACAGTGTTACAAACACATTATTATGTGCAGTAGAAGGATGTCTAAATTGAGAAATACCTGACTAAATTAGAATTCAGCTATGATTTGTATCTATTAGCCTTATTCTTTATACATTAGTCCACAGACTATTTATAGATGGATTATTTTCTGAGGTAAGCTATCTGAATTTTGGGCCTATTCCTTTTCAATAAATCCATGTATTTTGCAAGTGTTTCTGTAAGCTTAGCTTACTAACAAATCTATCGGATTCAACAGAAAAAAGTAATTAACAGTCTAGTCTTTTCTTTTGGTATCTCAACCTAACTACGTCCATTTCAATTCTGTAAACTCTCTAAATCTTCAACACAAACATTTCTAATTTTAAATAAAGTCAAAGATAAAACTATTCTCTCTGGTGAGTGAAGCCAAAAAAATACAAAATAACAGCTGATATGTTTGCAGACCATCACAGCTGGACTTGAAGCGGAGGAACAGTGACCCGGCAAACCGTCTGCCCCCTCCCCCCGCACCCCCACCTCCGCTGCCCCCTCTGCCGTCCCCGGACCTGGGCCTGCTGGAGTGGAAGGGCACGTCCATGTTCACCATCGCAGGACACAACTTCTGCAAAGAGGGTCGGTTCTCCAAGGAGGACAGGTGTGCTTACTGTGACAAACCGATGGATGCCTTCCTCACTCAGGGACACAAGTGTATAGGTGAGTAGGTGTATATTATGTAATTAGTCTGGAAAATAGATTTATACCGGATTAAAATCAGGCAAATGAAAATTTTTTTAGTCTGCAGGTCTGATTGGTAGGAGTACTTTTTTATATTCAATAACTAAATACAGAAAGATAAAAGTATTTTAATCTTAATTCTCAGATAATTTAAAACCTTAATTATGTACTTATTGAAAGCTGTAAAAGACCATTGTTGTGTTTCAGACTGCAAAGCGTTGTTCCATCCCAAATGTATACAGAACGGTGGCGTGCTGTCCATGCCGTGTGTGCCGAGGGTGAGTGGTGGTCGCAAGAAGCACCGCAAGATGACCCGCAGCCACGGTCACAACATGCATGGCCCGCAGTCCCTCAGACCCTCCGCCCCACAGCAACAACTGTCTCAGTTCAGTCTGACCGGCACTAGCGAGTTCACCGACCGAGCGGACCGCATCATATCAGACGTGCGTGAACTGCAACTGATGCAGGACTTCATCACAACCAAGGTACATAGAGTTGATTATTTGCTGTTTTACAACTGATAGCAGGCTTACCTGAATGGGAAAGAGTCCAAACTGGCACAGGAAACACAAAACTTTATACTAGGTATATACTCAAAACATTAGAATATTGCACTGTTACTGACAGCATTTTCAACTAAGTAAGAGAGAGTTTTACTCAACAAAAAATCCTAATAAGGCTATAGTTTTAGTTGAGGTAGTATGTCATTTCCTGATGCTCGTATCCATTGTGTCATCTCCAGTGGCGGATTTACCATAAGGCACACTAGGCACGTGCCTAGGGGCGCCAGCCGTTGAGGGGCGCCCGCCGTTGAAGGGCGCCTGGCCGCAGCGGGTAACGGGCGGCGTGCGTGGTGGCGGGCGCCAGGGTGACGAGACGATCGGTGAAGATGACTCACGTTCATGTCCCGACGTGCAGATGCAGACATACACTGCGAGTAGCAGTAGTGAGCACTATCAGTAGTCAGTGTGTCATTACCAGTTACAGTAGTACCCTCTGGTAGTACCTAGTACCTGTGTTGTGTTTCAGTGCAGTGGCAAATGTTGTGTATGTTTTAGCCATTGAGTGAAGTGCATGTTTATCATCAGTCTGTTTAGGATTGGATTAGTATTTGCAATCAAAAGCGGTTACACAGTAAGTAGGCCTACACTGATAATTTGCTTACGACATCTATAATCGTAAATAACTATTCTACTACTCATACAAATTAAATTAATTCTTAAACGAAAACGGTGTTACCGTAGTCATAATTTTAGTCTTTATAATATCCAGCAAAAGCCGTGTTTATACTTTTACTTATTAATTTAAATGCATAAAGTTCAATAGCAATAGTAGGCTTATAACAAATAACTGAATGGATTCGTCGATTCGTGGAATCTAATCAGTTAATAGTAGTTTACGCAACGATTGCGTAAAGTTAGTGTTAACGACACGAGTATAAAATTTAAGGTACGAGCCTTGGCGAGTGCCTTATAAACTTCTACGAGTCTACGAGTGTCATTAACACTATTTACGAATTTACGCTAGTTGCGTACACTACTTTACCTACAACAGTGTTTTAATTACTAAAAATAACTACCCATAACTTCTAAGAGAGGTTATGTTTTCTTTCATAACCTCTCACTGCCAATGACAGTAATGCAACGAAACGTTGAACCAAACACTAATTGCACCACTCAACAATTAAATTGGCGTGAACAGCTGATTAGTTGAAGTTCGAATCATTACAATTTTACTTCTTCACTCTCAATCCTTGTTTCTTTGAACCTCATTGGTCCGTTACCCGTTACCCGTGTTGTTTTGAGTAAAACTATGCTGTTATGGATGTAAACAATGCTGTTATGAGAAACTTTTCAATTCTAAGAACTGAACTGAAACGGCTACTTAAAAAACGGTCGTAGGTAAAATCGTTAAAAGGTCAGTTAAAATTATTTTTGTTTTGGCAGAACAATATATAATCTAAATAATTTTAATCGAATTAACGTAATATAGTTTAATCTAAAATGTAAAACTTATTAATAAAAGGCCCTACCAGTATTTATTTAATTTAAAATAAAAACTAATTTTGTGTGTAACCGCTTTTGATTTTGTTTTACTTTTTTAGCAATTTTAATTTCGTAAATATGCATAAAGAATATAACAATAATGAGTGAAAAACGAAAAAAGTTAAGTGGAGCAGCATTCCGTAAACAGTCAAAGGAAAAGCGTGAGAGAGAGACTTCCCTTTTAAAATCTGTGAAAAAAGTGGACAGTTATTTTTGTAAAAAATAACAAGTAAATGAAAATAGTCAACAAGAAAATGAAAGCAAACACGACGAGTTCTCTGTTAACCCAAGTACGAGTGCGATAACTAATACGACAGACAACGATAGTGTTCAAGTTCAAGTTCAAACTGTCAATACAGTTGAAATCTCTGATACCGACAAATACAAAGATAATGGTTCGAACGTTGCTATTGAAATTAAAAGTAATGATAATTGTGAAACAGACGTGCAAGTGGTAGATTTAAAAGACACTGGCCTGGTAAGTGATGATCCTATTGAATGGGTAGTAAATGATGCTACAATTGAAATCCTATTACGCCGTGGTATTAAACAAAATAAGAACTGCAATTTTTAACGTCCAAAAGGAAATTTGGAGACAAAACAAGATGTTTGACAGAGAGTACTTTTTACCGTCAATTAGCTAATGGTGAGATAAGGTCAAGGGAATATTTAGTTTATTCTCCAAGTAGTGGTTCCGTTTTCTGTGCTCCGTGCAAGCTTTTTTGTTCAAAATATGTGGGTTCTACCAGATCAAAACTTTCTACTGAAGGCATATCAGATTGGAAAAACATTGCATGTATTTTATCCGCACACGAAAATTCTCAAGACCATAAAAATTGTGAGTTAGATCTTTTGACAAGAAAAAAAACCTTAGGAACTATTACGGCTCAGTATGATTCGTATGTAGAAGCTGAAACTAAATACTGGAGAAATGTTCTTTCTAGAGTTTTTGCTGTTGTAAAAAAATTAACAAGCAGAGGCCGCCCTCTTCGCGGCCGCGATGAAAAATTTGGTTCTTTGCACAATGGGGAATACATGATGTCACTGGAGCTGATCGCTGAATTCGATCCCTTCCTGGCTAATCACATTGAACGATATGGTAACCCTGGACAAGGACAAACCTCGTACCTTTCTTCAACCATATGTGATGAAGTTGTCGATTTACTAGCCAGTAAAGTTAGGAAGATTATCGTTAATGATATCAAGACTGCCAAATACTTCTCTGTAATAGTTGACTCAACCCCAGATATCTCACACACCGACCAATTGTCTTTTGTATTAAGGTATGTTGGCAAAGATGGCTTACCTGTTGAACGATTCATTCAATTTATTCCCAATTCTGGACACAAAGCAGAGAATTTGGCTGAAACTGTGCTAAATACTTTAGAATCACATTCCATTGACATCAATGACTGTAGAGGTCAATCCTATGATAATGCGAGTAATATGTCTGGGATTTACTCCGGATTACAAGCTCGTATTAAAGAAATCAATCCCAAAGCGCTTTTTGTCCCATGTGCTGCACATTCACTGAACTTAGTGGGCACATGTGCTGCAAGCTGTTGCCGGGAAGCATGCACGTTTTTTAATTTAGTACAAAATATTTATAATTTCTTCTCAGCCTCAACAAAACGTTGGGAAAAGTTGATGCAGTGCCAGGTGCATACAAGTAGAACTGTAAAGGGTTTATCCGATACAAGGTGGTATGCACGGGAAGATGCTTGTAGAAGCTTATGTGACAACTGGCAATCTGTTATCGAGGCCCTACACTTTTACCAAAACGACCCTTGCGAAAAACCTCTGGTGAGGAATGAAGCACATGGCATTTTAAATGGAATGTACAGATTGGAAACTGCATTGATGCTGGATATTTGGACAGATATTTTAGAAAGATTTGAAAAAGTAAGCGAGACGCTCCAAAGTGTTGATATATCCATTGAAAGAGCAAACCGACTATATGATTCTCTTGTAGAATACATGGACTCCCTTCGTGAAATGTTTGACGAATACGAAAAAAAAGGCAATGGCTCGATGTGAATGGTGTGAGTGTGATTATGACACTACTTCAAAACGCTTTCAGAAGAGAAAACGTCGTCCAGATGAAGAGACTGAAGACGAAGTCGTCCTTACAGGGCGAGACAAGTTTAAAGTGGAAACCTTTTATGTTATTATCGACAGACTTAAAATTGAATTACAAAAAAGAAAAGAAGCGTATTCTTTAATAGCTGACAGATTTTCAGTCTTTACTGACCTTTCAGATACACAACCATCAGCAATTTTAGAAAAAGCAACAAAACTCCAAAACCTTTACGATACCGACCTAGAGTCATCATTTGGGAGTGAGTGTGTGCATTTTTCTAAATTGATAAAGTGCAATAACGTCACATGCACACCTCTCTCAATGAGCAAGTTCCTCAGAGAAGAAAAATTGGAGGATACATTTCCTAATGTGGATATAGCTCTTAGGATGTATTTGTCTACTGCAGTTAGCAACTGTTCTGCAGAAAGATCATTTTCTTCATTAAAGAGGATCAAGTCTTATCTGCGTTCTACCCTAAAGGAAGACAAGTTGAATTCCCTAGCTATTCTTAATATTGAAGCCGAAATCCTTAATTGTGAAGACTTTGCATTTGAACAGTTGATAGAAGAGTTTTCTGTAATGAAAGCAAGACGTAAACGTTTGATGTAGATGTAAAAATATGTAAGAACATGCTTTCACATTCGTAATTTGTTAACAGTTTGGTTTTTGAAGCAATCCCTTTAAGTAATTAAAAATACTATGAATAATACTATTAATTTCAGATACAAAGAACATCATAATTATAAGTGACTAATTGTTCACTTTTTTCATTTAGATTTCATTTCAGTATTCTGTTACATAAAAATAGGAGTTTAAACAAATTTTACCTGTTCGTATTAAAAAAAGTATCTTCAAGAGTAATAATAAATGAAGCTTAACAAACCTTGTGAGCTGTCTTATTTTGAATCTTCTTCACCAAAAATGGGAAAATTAAGGTAGGCCTATGAATATTCCGTAATAGGTATATAACCTTTGACTATTAATACAACCCAATAGTCAATGATATAACATTAAATATAGTTCTTAAGTTCTTTATTATTATTATCATTAGTATGAGTAGGCCTATATGATGCATGATATTACTACATTAAATTAATATGCAGGGTGTTTTTAAAAGATTAAACCATTAAACCAGCTTCGATTTCTTTTATCATCAAGTAGATTTAATTTAATTTAATTTAGCAATGAATATAAACCATGCGAACCTCAGATAACAATTTGTATCTTCTGTTGTGCCGTAAACGTCATACTAGCGACTGGCGTATGGGTCACAATATTGGCCTACCACCGCGCACCTGTTTTGCGCATGTCAAGGTCAAAATTTCCTCCCTTGCTACAGGAGAAACAAAACTTAGTTATTTTAGTTTCAATATTACGTATAAAACGTTTAGTTGCCTTGAATATTACCGAAGCAATTATCATTTAAAATCTTGACATTCTTTTAAAAAGACCCTGTATATATATCTATATCTATATAACTAACTGGAATATATATATCTACTAGAAATATAAGTTTTAGGGTTCTCTGTTGTACTTTTACTGCCGTAATTTAATATATTATCAGCAGCCCTATTACGTTAACACCTAAATTCAAATATATATATATGTATTATTAATTTCCTGGAAATTATAAAAAAACAATTGAAGCTGAATACATTTGAATTGAATTTAGTCAAGAACGGCCGGCAATGCGTTCGGCGATTAATTTAGGCTATTCATATTCATATTTATTCTTGTCTCAACAACTAAATATATGTTTTTCTTAAAACCTTGTAATACAACTTTAATATAAAGTAGGCCCTACTCATATAGTGACTATGTTTTCCTGGAAAATGCATTAATAAGCATGCCAACAACGGGAAGTTTAATATTGCTTTTACGCTGAAACCTTTCCTCAATTGCGGAACACAAAGGGGCGGCCGGCCGAACGGGCCTAGGGGCGGCGCCGTAGGTAAATCCGCCACTGGTCATCTCATAACATAATGTGTTAAGACAATTTTCCTAGTGTTATGTCATGTCGTACTAACCACTAGATAAAAGTGATAAAAATAACCTTGAATGTACTTCTAACCAACTACTCATCTCTGAGTCGGACTACTTGGCTTGACCTTGAGTACTCGTTAAAACTTGAGTAATTACTCTATACCTGAGTACTAGCCCACCCATATTTTTGCATATCCTTTCCATTTCCATACTTCTAAACTACTTTATTTCTCAGTGGTCAAGGAAAACCTGGAAAAGTCAGGGAATTTTGGTGTTTCTATTTTTCCATTCAATTGTATTTTAACATTCTCATTCGCAATAAGTAGAACAATAACACATTTAATTATCGTCATCCATAAAGTAAATTTGATGAAACCTATAGTTGGTAACATTATGTTTGATGCATTTTTCATTGATTTGCAGATCTACAAGATAGAGAGTGGGGACAAGCAGAGTCAAGTAGACAGGGTGTTCAAGCAAGCTCTAAGAGAGTTCAAGGATAACCTCGTAGCTACATACAGTGTTGTCAACAAGCAGGGACCAGAGGCACTCAATATCAAGTATAAGGATCTCATCGCCAACTTCCTCAGAGTAAGTCTATTGTTTCACTGTCCCAGCGTATGATTCCATGGCAAAGTGTGAATAAATTCAAAGGGTATTGGAAACTAACTTTGGTGTTACAAGGTTGGTTCTGGTTAAGATATTGTTTGTATGACAAATTGTCATACTTTTTTAGTTTTCTCTCTACCAAAACCAGTGAAAATGTGTATAAAGGAACAGTCGATCAGTAAAAACTCCTCAAGTTTTAAATGGATATCCCTGAAATCATTAAAACCTACTCATACGGATCTAGCCTATACTCATCTTTATCTGTTTTCCAAATTATCATTAAAATACCCCCGCTGCAGCAAACCTGCCGACTTAGCGAATTTCCATTTGCCTGGATTGATTTGTAATTATTAATCTATTAAATTAACATTTATGTTTAACGAGTAACTAGGTTAGCTGCTACAGGGAAACTAATAAAGTGTGTTTTTTATTAAAATATCAATAGCTTAGTATGAAATAAATGAAAAAGCCAAGTTTGATCAACATTTATCCATAAACAAGCCAACTACAACATATTATACTATTCTCCATAAGAATAACTTGGGAATTTTAAATTTAAATTTTTTTTTAATTTTCTCAGTAACCAATTGTTGTACAAAAACACTCTGATATACTAAATTATTTGTTTTTTAAGCTCTTTAAAAAGGTCTAGAGAAAAATTGATAGTAAATTGTGTGTTTTAAGTTTAAAAAAATTAGAAAAACCCATTTTTACCCCATAAAACCCCCGTTAAACCCCGTTCCCATGGTCCGATCATGCGGGTTAGCGAACTCATTCAAGTTTATCCCGCCTTGCACCTTCAAACCAAATATTATCAAAATCGGACAAAAATTACTCAAGTTATCGTGCGAATGGACATATTATACATATATAAAATTTTGAACGAATGGTGTTTTTGGCCTCTGGAGACATCAAAATGAAAAAGTAAATCGGTCCCGGGCCTAGGTCATACCATAAGACCTACTTCCTTATAGGGAAATTCGCTAAAATGACTAGGCTTGTTGTTCAACATTGTCAAAGTTCGCAAAAAACTAAAAAAAACGCCTAAAACTAATTTTTCATGATTAAACAGAGATGTATGTTTAGTTTCATGCAATTATTTTCTTTGGTGTTCTTTCACATTTCAAGCTTTAAGGATAATTACACTACCTGTATTGTACATATTAGACCAAAATATAATACAGGTTTTACAATGTAAAGTGCTCAAAGTCAAAACACTCATAACTTTTGCAGGTGATGGAGACAGTCTGCACCCAAGAGCAGACAAAGACTGACTTCCCGGTGACGATGGGTGTGAACGCTTTCCGCGGCTTTCTCAACGAGTTCATGGCGCAGACAAGAGTAGAGCAGGTGAAACCTCACAAAACGAAGAGGAAAAAAGAGAAGAAACGGAAGACGGAAGATCCAATCGCACACGCGGGCCACCATTTTGTGTTGACTATCATCAATATACCCACCGCCTGTGAGATCTGCACTAGTTTCTTCATGTGGCCGCTGGAGCGGGGCCTCGTGTGTCAGAGTAAGAATTCTTGTTTGGTTTTGGAATATTTCCTCCCAGTGAAACGTTTACTATTGAGGGTTTGAGCATTTAAGCGTAGTTAGAGGTGGGGAGTTGTGCTGTAAACTTATTGATGTGCTGTTCAACGTCAACAAACCAATGCCTTTGGTAAAACAGACGTCGTGTGGTAATTTATGAAAATGTCATTTACTCTGCTGTGGCATAATAACTTATATTTTTGGCTGTGTTGCTTAAATACAGGGTGACAATTAAGTCTGGAAGCTCTTAATACCAAAACTCACACGTGCTTACTGGTGATAAGTACTAACGCACTCATCTGCCCAATTACCAACCAGATAACCCCTTTGGGGGACGGTCCACAAGGAGTCAAGAAAAAATTCTTAAATAGCAACAAATGTCAAGTTTGGTATCAAATTAAAGGTCTCCGTTAGTAAAATACAATGCCACAAATCTGAACTCAAACGGACAACCAAGTCAAAAATGGCAGCCGTTCAAATATTTCTTTAATCTGCCATTTTGAATATTTGAACGGCTACAATTTTTTACCCAGCAAATATTTTTAGCTCAAATTTGCGGCATTGTATTCCACTAATAAAGACCTTTAATCTTATGTGCACATCAACTTATGCTTACGTTTATGATTTTCATCTGACTTTTAGCGGTCACCTCGCAGTATAAATAAGCACTGCAAATTCAAGGAATATTTGAACAGCTGTCATTTTTGACTCCATTGTCCGTTTGAGTTCGAGTGGCATCCTGCTAACATTTTAAAAAGCCTGGAAAATTTGTACAGATGAAGTAGTGTGGCTACATGGTTTGTTAAACCGGAAGCCAGCTTTACAAGCAAACTAGAAAAGAAGAAGAAGAAGAAGTGTTTGAGTGCCCTAGATTATAAACAGGCTGGATCAGCAAGATTATTTCCAAATATAATTTGTGTTATTAAAGTAAATGGATTAGTGTGTAGTTTTTAAAGCAACTTGATCAGCTGACTAATGTGACATGTGTGTTTGTTGTTCAGATTGTAAACTGACCTGCCACAAGAAGTGTTACACCCAGGTAGGGGTGTGTCGTCTGCAGGTGGGGGCGGGGGGAGTGATGTCACCTTTCCGAGTGTTCGGAGTCCCGCTCCACCAGCTGGCGACAGGCGATGGGAAAGTCCCGCTGGTCGTGGACCGACTCATCACCACTATAGAGATGTACGGCTTGTACATGGAGGGCATTTACAGAAAATCGGGGGTGAGTGGTGAAAAGATTTTGTTCTAAAATGTTAATTATTCAATAGAGGTGTGAGAGATGACTTAGACTGGGTAGAGAGCGCATTACTTAGACCTATTGAAATATCTCACGATTTGTTGGTGCATTAGTCTTGTAAAACCCCAGTTGCCATTCATAAACAATAAAAAAATTTTAAACCTTTACTATTTGAAAAGAAAATTCAAATTGAGATAATAGTGTTCTAATCCAGGAAGTTTGAATCAAGCAAGTTCCACTGTAATATAATTTAAAATTTGATAAACTTGATTTTCAGGTAAGCTCCAAGGTACGTGAGCTGAAAGCTAGAATGGAGGAAGACAATATCGAAACCGTCCAATTTGAACACTACCAGGTAAGAAAATAATAGATATACTGGATTGAATTTATGAATGTTTGCACCTTTAGTTTTTTTTTATTTCATTTGACTCATTGATAACTTCTAGTCCTAGTCTTTTGTTTTTAATCATCTAATTTGAACAAAGTAAACTTAATATTTTTCTCATCTCACTATTTTGATGCAACAACACTCTTTGTGTAAAAATGAAGCTGAACATGAATGCAGGGTGAATGACCTAGATGAAAATCTTCAGTGTTTCAATGTTTACTAATCGATTATTTCCCACGTTAAAATCACATTGATTTTTGTTGTAGATTAACAAACATGTTGTATCACTTGTTCAACTAAATCAACTGATTATATTTCACATTCCACAGGTCCACGTATTGGCCAGTGTGCTCAAGAGTTTCCTGCGCGAGATGCCGGAGCCACTGCTAACGTTTGACTGTTACGAGGACTTCTTACGAGCCGCCAACCTTCCCGAGGACAGCGTCAGTTCGCTGTTTGCCATCCTGCGGCGACTGCCCAAGCCCAACTACCACCTCATGGAAAGACTTATCTTTCACCTAGCCAGGTTTGTTTTTTTACTATTATTAGAATTTACGGTTGTTAACTGATTTTACTTCTTTTCAAGTTGTTTCGGTTGTTGTCAGAATGTTGTTGATTTGAGAACAAAGGTATCTCATTGAAGGTATGAAAGTATGACAGAGTTTACCTGTTGTAAATTGTGTGTTGCGATAAATAGTTTCTGCAGAGCTAAATTAAATTGTTGTAAAGTTTAATAAGCAGCACTAAAATGGTTGTTTGTAAAATTTAATAATGTGTGTTATAATAGGTATTACAAAAGTCTCACTGTGTCAAAAAGCTATTCTCATCAAGAATATATGTAGGCCTATGTACTTTAATAAATCCATCCTTTTATTTTTCTAAGTGTAAATTATTTTTTGTATTAATAAATATCTCATGATTTACATTACATAGCTTGTAAGTATTTTGGTTAGCTTTGTGATTAATTGTAATTTTGTTTGCCTACATTAATTCAGGATCTAAACATTATCTTGGTATTTTTAAATGTTGAATGTCTTATTTTGAACATGTTTTATAGGGTGGCGTCGCACGAAGATGTAAACCGGATGAACTCAAGTGCGTTGGCAATAGTGTTTGCACCATGCATCCTGCGTACCAACAAAGCAGTGCCGGCGCAAGACTCGCTCAACGACATCGCTCGCCAGACAAAGTGCATCGAGATAATCGTCAGTGAGCAGTTGCGCAAACTGCGGAACACACTGGCGGACATTGACACATTGGACACTGCGGCGCATACGGCTACACACCGGCTGTCTTCACTGAGAAGCTCAAAGGTAAGACTTGCAGTAGACAAATTCCTAAATTATCTTGAGTTGTGGGTAATAGGGAACGGTTAAAAACTTTAGTATATTTCCAGTACAAAATACTACAGCTGATTGCACGGTCTTTCCATAAGCAAGTTTCCTCTGCACCTTTCTCAGTGATATTTGTGCGAATGGGACACAGTCATTAAACACGTGTTTTTCCTGTGCAGATATTCACACCAGAAGAGTTGCTGCCGCAGAAGACGGACTTGGAGGAGGAGATCCTGATGGGTCACATCGAGGAGTTGAGGAAGGAGAAGGCGATCCTCACGTCCACGTTGCCCTCTCTCACCCGCACCACGTCCGACGACGACCTGCTGTCTACAGACGACGGGAGTCTGGATGACGTCGATACTCAACGTGAGTAGACAAAGTGTTGTAGCAATGTTCAGTCGCATAGATGTTGTGAATCTGGCTGTCCATTGTTGCAAAGTAGGGTATAATTACAAGGAATCACAGAATGAATGGTGAAACACTATTCTGCGGTAAAACATTTTAAGGTAAATAAAACCTGTATATATTCAAACTAGATTTTTTCCTTTGGAGGATAAGTAAGCTGTTGTAGTTTGCCTGTTGGATATAGTTTGATAAAATTTAACTTATTTAGTTAATTATTTTGAACATACTAAGCTATCAACAGGACCGGATTTAGCATTTTTGCGCCCCTAGGCCCAAATAATTTTCCGCCCCCTAGTCTGGTCACAGTTACTTTCCTTCAAACCTTTATTAAAAACTATATCACGCCCATAGGCCTAAGTTAATTGCTTGAATACCAAAAATGAATACAAAATGCTGTCTTAAACACTGTTAGCAATTTTATGCTTTTAATAAATGCTCACGTTTGTGGCCGTGGGACTGAAACAAAACAACTCAAACCACCGAGAATTCCTGAAAAAAAAAAAAACATGGCCATTGATTCCAATTCCTGGCCCAAAAACCTGAACTCCATACAGTATGTGATACCATAGATAAAACATAGGCTACTCCTTTAGTAGATTTGTCATAATTTTGGATTAGCTGAAAACAATTCTTGTTATTTAAGGAGTATGTTTTATCTATGTTTAAACCTAGTTTATCCAAAATAAAACGATCTAATCATCAACAATTGTCTCCTGTTTATATTACAAGAAATTAAAACACACATCATAGAACTAAAAAAAAAAAAAAAAAATAGAAACAAAATTACGTCAAAACTAACGTCCAGTATCACCAACATGAACTAGACATGAACAAATTTTGAATTAACAATGTCATAAGAAGTCGACTTGAGCTATATTTAATCTATGGTCGTACTGTATCTAGGTTATATTTCCAAAGCAAAACAGAGCAATACTCCTGCCAACCATACCGATCCTTAGGTCTGAGGAGAAAATTACAGCATTAATGGTGCTTTGGAGGGTATTGAATGCTTCTAAAATCTAATGCAAACTGAGATTAATATTTTTTCGTTAAATTTAAACGTAAATTAATCGTTTTAATATTCAACACAACGTATTATATATTTTAACTTGATCATGCAGATTGTTGTAAACTAATCAAAAGATTAGTTAATAACTTTTGTTTTGTGAAGTGAGGGTGGTAACAATGTCTAGCACGCTTGCGCCCCTAATCACTATGATCAGTAGTGCCGAGCCCGAGCCTGAGCAAGCCGAGCCAGCATAGTGGCAATACGATGCGTACCCCTTGGGCGCTCGTCAACGTCAACATCCCTACAGCCTACTCCCGTATAACCAATGTTCGTTAGCAATTTTGTAACGAAATTAATGCGTAATTATGAAAAATATTTTAAATTTCATAACAATAATTTCTTCTTATGAACTTCGGAAGTTTTTTTATCAACTATGACTATTTATTTTTATTTTTAGATAGCCTATAAAAAAATTCCTCTTGGCCGTGCGCCCTCTGGGACCTTGCGCCCATAGGCCCGGGCCTACCGGGCCTATTGGGAAATCCGGTCCTGGCTATCAATCTTTCACTCAAAAACACGTCATTACATTTGTTTTAGTCTAAGAACTCCTTAAACCTAATGTTAGGTAAATATTGTAAAAAAATTAATTCAAGTAATTGTAAATTTGATTAGTCTGTAGGTTTGTTGCGGCAGGGGGCCTTTGGGCTAACAGCTGGGGTCGGGCACACTCTAAAACTGTCTGAAATGTATTAACTTAACAGTCTTTTTTAGAGTACCTATTTACTGACTTTTGCTATTTTCGCGGTAGTGGAGTTTTTCAAACACTCAGTAGTCTACCATTTGCTGTAATTCTACACTGCCAAAGTCTTGAACATGCTTTATTGTAGTTTATTGTACTCTAACTCAACATTTTTCTTTCCATACGAAGAGTTTATTTATCACCATACTGAGGTTGTTTGTTGTTGCAGCCCAGCCATTGTCGAGGCATCGCAACCTCGGCCAGAAGAGGTGCAAACGTCCCACAGACCCCCTTCCCCACCCCCACTCCAACTCCCAGGACTTTGACGAAGACCCCATCATGGTGTAACATTCCTCCCCTCGCTCAGACGCAAGGACATAATCGATGGTGCTTATACATATTTATACATATATAAATAACATAATTGTGTTATCGATATTTTTTGATTTGTACAAAAATCAATGAACGTAACGCTATATAAACTAGATGTTCCTGTACAGACCGCGTAAGTGTTCGTGTCGGATTGTAATTATATTTTGTACAGAAATGTTCTAACTATGATTTAACACGTGGATTTTGTAACGATTTATCTTCTAGCGTAAGTTTTTAACAAGCCTTGTAATGGAGGTTCTTGTGTTGAAGACTGTCCGAGTCGATCAGTTAACTAGGAATTCCATTTGAACAAATGAATTTGATATTTTTATTCTTGTATCGCTGTGTTATCGCCGGACATTGATGTGTGTGTGTTGTCAAACCGATTCTAAATCTGTACTCGTTAAGATGACTGTGCGTTTTCAATGTATCCTTAACTGTACGCCGTTCCTTCCCAAGACATAAAAATAGACTTAATTTTCTATGTGTGAATCACGTTACTATAATTTTTCAAAAGATACGTCTCTGTGATATTAGTCGTGTTTAGGTCATAATTTATTTTCTGTCAATTTTTATATTTGTGGAAAGAATGCCAAAATAAACTGTTAGTATTATTTTTCTACAAAAATGTTTAAGCAGTTTATACTACTTACGAGAAGTGAAAGTACAAAACCAATCTTTGTGCATTTGCTTGTATATTTGATTATTTAACCAGTCGTTTTGTAGCCACACTTTTTATTTAGTAGACTAGACATTTTTACACGTCATAACAAACATTGGGGAAAATAAGAGACCTATAAATAAACATTCCATAAATGTGGAAGTTGACTTGACCATTCTTAAGTCTGTTGTCACTTAATGTAAAACATAATGTGAATTTAGGGTATCGTCTGTTGAAATACCAATAACTAACATTAGTCCAACAATGAACAAATAATATTCCAACGAACAATAGCTAGTTATAATTATTTGAATTGGTGCCAAATGATTTTGTATCTTTAAGAAATCAATTTAAACTCACAACTTCTGGATTTTGCTAATACAATTCATGATTTTTTTATTTTCTACTATCAATTGTTAGTGCTTCAGAGAGACTGTTTATTGTTACATGAAAATGTGCTTAGAACAAACTCTATCAGATTAGAACGATTTTATTTTATGTTATGTTTTTTGCACCGACATATTTTATAAAAATTCAATTATAATTATTTAACATAATACTGTTTGCGAGGAACTTTTCCCAGACATAATTTTAGTTACTTTCTGCTATAATTTATTATTGTTATCGCAAAGTGCTTCCTTTCTGTATGTTTTTTATAAATAGAAAAAAACTTACTATTGTTAAATTATTTCATGTTAAACTGTTCACTGGTTAATGTTTACAACTTGTTTATCATACTAAAGGGTGTGTGGTGGTCAGATTAATTTACTAAAACAATTGATTGCCGGTAGTTCTATTTACTAATGGATGAGTGACTCCATTGAACGAAAGGGGTGGGAGTAATTTGTAAACAAACGTTACGATGAAAAAATTAATTGATTGTTTACCAAGGTCCGAAAATAAGAAGTTTGAAAAGTAGCCTCAAGCTAAAAAAAAATATAAAGGAAAAAGGATCGGTTTTACCCTAGGTTTAAACATCTTTCTAGACACTTATAAATATTTGTTATAAAATTGCTTAGTAAAACTATTGACTAAAATCATATTATAATGATACAGTGTTGAAATTTCCTGTTACATTTATTTGCTAAGCATACTGTTATTGTTACGACTGTACAAAAAATGGTGTCGCCACTGTCGGGTTATTGCAGCAGACCTAGTACTTGTTAAATCTATTTTTATTTAAATACGGAATAAATTTGACAAGATTAATGAGATATTTGAGTAAAAATTCCATCAGACGAATTGAAAGTCGCTTACTCTGCAGGTTTGCTGCAGCGGGGGCATTTTAATCAGAGCTAGTTACACATAATATCACTTTGGGCTCTAGTGATAAATTACCTTTACTATTTACCTTTTTTATCAGATTTGTATTATTACCCAACAACATTTATGTTAGAAAGATACACACACCCTTTACGTATACACTGTTAAATAGAGCTTCCCTTTATAAATTTATATATTGTTATGTTTTTTGAATAGTCTAATCCAACTCACTTTTTGTCGTGGCAACCGGAACATTTTCAACTGCAAATATTATCATCCCGCATCATAAGTAAATGTACCTGGCCAATGGGTTCATTTTGGTGCAAAAACTAGGCAAAACCACATTTGTTTGTGTTATAAACACTTGGTTTTTATGCAGATGTTTTCTGATTATAATGGGCATAAGTAGACGTTTATTGTCTGATAAGAATAGGTAAGCTAATTTAATTTGGATGGGGTGCTTGCTTACACCTTTGACTATTAATACAACTTCAGTTTCCAATAGTCAATGCTTACACATACAAAATTGATGGTGCAAAAATGCATTTGATTATTTAGAGTCCAATGTCTAAAAACTTTTTGGAAAATATCTTTGTGTTAGGTTCTGATTAGTGATATGTTTGTAAATGTTTCAATTTGTTTTTATCTTTTAACTTAAACATCTTTTTTTGACTTTTGGCAAATAATTGTTCAACAATAGCATGCTTTTGGCTGTTGTTTATGCTATCATTTTCTTTAGTTGTGAATTATAACTAAATTTGGAGTTGAAATATATTTTATTGCATATTATCCAGAAGAAAAGTCTCAATCATTTTAAGTGATCAATTGATTTTATACGTATTTTGTGATTTTTAATGTATTCACACATTATTTATATTATATTTTGTGTTTAATTATTTAGTTTAAAAATAATTTCTACTTTTGTCTTTTGTTTCTGATCAAATATTTAATAATTTACTTGTTTAATGATTTATAATACTTCTTAACAACAAACTTTTTCAATTTGTGCTCAATTATTTTTTTAAGACGAGATTTTGTGATTTAATTATTATTGTGGAAGAGACTAGCTTCAATTTGTATTTGATTCATTTGTAATTGATAAGAATGTTAAGGCTGTCTCAATGTTTTTGTTTGTTCTAGTTGTACTTTTGCAATCCTGTTTAATTTTTAAATGGACTTTGTGATATTTTTCCTTTTTTGCCACTGCTAATGTAAAAATCTATTATCATTAATCAAAAAAGTGCATCTGTGTGCGTTAGGTTCTGGTTCTAACTAAGTAACCACATTTTTTACTTACAAGTTCCCATCTAACTATTTGAACACTATGATAATTAATTATTCTTGTTGAAATTAGATATCTAAATCTAAAGATTCAGAAGTGTTACGTATAATTTCAAAAAAATATATTTTTATAAAATAAAGAACATAACTTTTTAAACATTATAAAAGTTAGTTTTTCCGCCATTGAGTGGGAGAAAATTTTCGTAGCTTTGCTATCTAAAATTTCATATGATAAGAGATAGTGGGATGTTTTAGTAACTTTAAATTTAATTCAATAATAGTTTTCCTAAATTAGATAGGATTTATTATTGTGCACAGTTCATTTGTTTTGTATTTTATCGAATCATTCTCTTGTCAAGAATCTTTGTCAATTTGTGGTTAATGATTGCATTTATTATCGGCATTTGTTTATCAATGGACAGTTGTAAAGATTTATTTTTCTAATCTAACCTTATGCATATCGATCTAGTTTCCAGTCTGACTGAGAATTACTTGTTGAAATGCTGTATTTTTGTAAACTTAACTCCAATATAACTCGAGTCAGTCTCTAGGCTGTTGTTAAACCATCTTATTACGTTAACGTGTTAAAGTTTATTGTTGAAAATGGAGTTGAGAGAATTCGTTGTGTAATGGAATTTTTCCTGGTTTAATATGGTAGCTCCCAAATTTGAAGGAATTTAAGATAATTTGTCTTTAGAGGTGTTTTTCTTGAGTGAAGAGATTTTTAGTTTCATGTCCGTGCTAAGAAAAGATTATTGATTTATTTGTAATTCATGTAACTTATGAAAAATGTATGGAAGGCAAAAAAGTCTTTTAATTGTTAAAATTTAAATACAGTAATTTAAAATATGAGTGGGGATAATTAATGGGTAATGATAAATAATTTTCATTAAAAAAATATATCTAATCAATAAATCCATAAAGGTTTTTATATATCTCTTTATATAGTTTACAACTTTTAATTCCAAAACAATTAATTGTCAAAGGTTTCATTGAAAACCAAATTTGTTGTATTATTATGTTTTACCTTCAAATTTGGTATTCTAATAAGAATACCAAATTTCTCCTATTGTAGGGGAAAACAGTCTTTTAACCAGAATCTCTCTGTATTAAATTATTATTAAGGCATTTGCCTTAATAATTCCTGGCAAATGCCCTATCTGTATTAAATTACTTTTGTTATAATTAACCAAGTCAATTACAAGCCCTCGTTGCGATGACCGTAGCAGTTTAAATCTGATGTCGACTGATTGTATTTATTTAAGTCCTTGTTAAAACATAAAATGTTTTAGTTTCAAACAATTACTTTAGCAATATTCTAAGACTAATTATGTAAACTTTGAATATTGTATCCAAAGTGGTTGCAAAATAATAGTGTGAGAGATTGCATTTATTAAGCTGGTAAAGTTTTCGCATTTTCTGTTTTATTTCGGTTATAATTTATTCATCGATACTCCTAATGTCTATACTTGTATTATTTGTGTACTTTTCTATAAATATAAAAATAAACAATATGGGAACATGTTACTTTGTATGATCTGTCAAATCCCCTGTTGTGCTATTTTTTTATATGTACAATAGAACCTCGATAATCCAACCACGGCAAGTCTTATTCCTGCTTAAGCCAACAGTGTCATTGCCTATTGGTTACCATGTTATCGCAGTAATATCGTAACCATTTCCGATGGTCCTGGGGTTATTATCACCGTCTCCCTCAAAAACTCTTATTACGTTATCTGTGGTAACGGAAACATCTTGTCTACCGTGATGAAAGAAAAATCATCCTAGACCCACACTCGCAAGGACATCATCATTATATCCCGAACGACGGAAACTGTACTGTTATAGCGGCAGACTATCTCATGTGGTTAACGTAAAGATCATCGTCTCTTGTGGATGTGGCAAAATGAACGTCTTCCGTATTCATGACAACATTGTCATTATCTGCAATCGCGGCAAAATAATGAGTGTCACAGAAACATTACCATCATCTTCTGAGATCTAGCCACAATCGTTGAACAATCTGCTCCGTACAACACAGCAAAGCGTACACGTCAGCTAAAGAACTGCAAAACTATGGAGCTATACGCAAAAACTGTCCTCGCTTAAAAAACCGCCCTCGTATATTTTTGCACCTATGCAAATAATTTTGTTACTTTTCATATTACTCCAGAACCAATTTTGAAAGTTCTGATTAGTTGAAAATCTTTTTAAAGATTGAGAGTATGAAATGTAACATAGAGAAATGTAACATATATGTGCTAAACATTTATGAAAGTGAATCCTAGCTTTACATGACCAAAAACAAAACTGTGTTACATATTAAGAATTTTTATTCAAATTGGTAACGAAGGAGATCCCTGAGATCACCCTTGTTTAAGGGTTGTCGGAACAAACTATATAGTCATGATAGAAGACATGTTGTTACAGATCTCAATTTTACAGGATAGTGTGAGCATAATCAATAACCTCCTAGATTCGTTGATAAGGATCCTTGGCGCCAGTGTCTAGGTTTGGTTGACCCACAGCCTAGAGCTACACAGGTCAAGGTCAGGGCCTGGCTATCTCCAGTGTCTCTACTATCACTGTGGAGTTGTGACTGGCTGTTGATGACTCATTCGTTCAACTGTTTACGAGGTTTTGACAAAAATTAACAATACGCGCACAGCTAAGATGCATTTGATTTTGAGAGATTGGTTTATTCTTATACTTCTGGACCACAATTGAGTGGTTTAACACTGAACGTCCAAATGTGCTTATAATGCTAAGAAAAAACTATATCGTATCAGCAAACGGACACATGCTTTCCCCCATTAGCTTGTGAAAAACTGTTTTAATGGGTAGGTGGTGGGATGAACTTTGACATTTTATGCGTAAAATCACAAAAATTGTAATACTTGTGAACCATAATTTTTACAGCATTGGGAGTTGTACAATTTTGTTTTAAGTTAAGACGACTGTTTCATACTAGTTTTTAATCAAAATCGTCCAACCAGTTTTTGTAAAAATGTTTATGGGTTATTATAGTAAACCCAACAACAGGTTTTAAAAAATTATAAAAACGCCTGGAGATACCATGGGAATGTACCCAACCAAGAGTATGTAGCTGTACTTGTCATTTAGAACTTTTTTTGGGTTCAGGAGGGACCAAAACAGATATTTCCACTCAAAACTTCATCTCAAAAATGTTGACCATAAAAATACTTTCTCCATGTGTATGTTTAGGAGGGGAAAGACAAATTTTTAATTTATGGTTAACAGTTCTGATAAAATATAAATGAACTAAATTCAGAATTTTCCTAATGGTTTCTCAAAAGTAAAAGTTTTAAATTCTAAAATGGTAAATGTTGAGTTTATGATGATTTCCTTTTCCTACGTAACCTACCTAATTGATGACTGGTGA